AGACTGAACAGATTTAAATAGCTTTAAATCGTCAGCATATAATAAAAAATTCGAATTGTGAAAGCAAGATGTTATGTCATTAATAAATAACAAGAACAAAATAGGACCACAGTGTGAACCTCGTGGGACCCCCGATGTCACAGAAAAGGGAGTAGATAAGTGGTTCCCAATTCTCACCTGTTGCTGCCTATCACTTAAGAATGACGCTAACCACTTTATAGTGTTGTTATTAAAACCGTATTTGGATAACTTAAAAAGTAGCAACTTATGATTTACTTTATCGAAGGCTTTAGAGAAGTCGGTATATGCAGCATCAACTTGAAGTTTATTGGCAAAAGCATCATTAAGAAAGGAATAGTATTCAATTAAGTTCGACAGAGTTGATCTATTTTTAACGAAACCATGTTGTTTTTCAGAAATTATGCAGGATGACATACACTGCAATTGCTTAGACACTATGAAGTCAAAAGTCTTTGCAATAACAGATTGGATACACACTCCTCTATAATTATCAGTTCTATTCCGTTCACCAGTTTTAAAGATAGGGATAATATAACTGTTTTTCCAAACTTTAGGAAATTTACATTCATTTAGAGACGATTGAAATAACAAAATCAATGGAAAAGAAACTGTGAAGACACAGTTTTTTAATAGAATGCTTGGAATCCCATCTGGACCATAATTGGAGGAAGATTTTATTTGGGAAATATGCTCAAACACCTGAGCAATAGACACCTTTAAACCATAATCATTTAGTTCCATATCCGGAACAAAATTAAGGTTGAAATTCCTATTGTTCTTTTCATATACAGAAGAAAAAAACTGAGCGAATAAGTTGGAAATTGCATCTCCACCTTTTGCACGTACTTCATTAAAAACCATTTCCTCTGGAATACCATCGCATTTATTTTTATCCTTAATGAATTTCCAAAAGTATTGAGGGTTACTCGACAAACTATTGTTAACTCTAGTGAAATATGACTTATAGAGATCTGTATTAAGTTCTTTGCAGTGATCCCTCAACGATCTAAAATAAACGTAATCCTCAATCGTGCCCGATTTACGAAAAACTGAATGAGCTGCTTTTTCCTTACGGATCAAATTTTTTAATTCAGTATTGAACCATCTAGGATATGATGAACTATTCAGTTTAACAGTTTTTATTGGAATAAATCTATTGATGCCGTCGAAGAGAATACCATAAAAAACTGAAACTTTATCATCCACATCCAGACCAACAAAACAACTTTCCCAATCCACAGAAGCCAGATAATCATTAAGTAGATGATAATTCCCATTAGCGAAGTCAAATATTTCAATTTCAGTAGACAGAACGGAAACACAAAAATTAGGAAGAGACCACGAATACGAAATGTGATGGACACTGTTATCAAAGATTGTATCAACGGCGGCGTTTACTTGTAAGTTAGTAATATTTGAAAATATAAGATCAAGGAAAACGTTACGATTATTAGGGATAGTGTTAACCTGATCCAGACTTAAAAAAGAATAAGTAGAAATTAAGACGTCATAGCAATCCTTAGAAGAACCAACCAAATGATTAGTAATTTTATTCCTGTCCCAAATAAGAAAGGGAAGATTGAAATCACCCGCAATTATATAGTCGCAATTTGGAAATCTTTGATAAACAGATTCTAATTCAGAACAGTGATCACTGTAAACATGAATATCAGATGCAGGAGGTATGTAGACACCCCCAACAATTAGGCTTAATTTATTAGTGTTTATACGAACATATACACTTTCCACATTTTGACCATACATAACAATAGAAGAATTAAAAGCTTTGTTAACAGCTACTAATACACCACCGCCCCGTAATTTTGTACTAGTATTAATATTTCGATCAGCACGAAAGATGTTATAGTTTCGCAACAATAATTCAGGATCAGATATTTTATCGTAGAGCCAGGTTTCAGTGATAATAATTACGTCGTACACACTAGCATTAACCCCCAAACAAAATTCATTAAGTCTTGTTCTTATACCTCCAGCATTCTGATAATAAAAATGGATTACTTTTTTGACAAATTGTTAGCTGTAGATTTTTTCTTTATAATGGAAGGACAATTATTTTTATATTTTAAAACAATATCTTTTTCACTGTTGCCAATCCTATCCGAAAATTCCTTCTTTACACCATTAATATGATCGTCATTTTTCATCCTTTTTCGTCCTTTACGTCCTTTTTCGTCCTTCTTATTCTTTTTCGTCCTTTTCGTCCTTTTTCGCCGTCTTTGGTCATTGTTCGTTCTATTTCGTCCTTATTATACTTTTTCGTCCTCTTTCGTCCTTGTTCGTCCTTTTTCGTCCTTTTTCGTCTTTATTATCCTTTCTTGTCCTTTTCATCCTTATCCTTTTTCGTACTATTTCGTCCTAATTATTCTTTTTCGTCCTCTTTCGTCCTTTTTCGTCCTTTTTTCGTCCTTTCTCATCCTTATGATACTTTTTCCTACTTTTTCGTCCTTATTATACTTTTTCGTCTCCTTTCGTCCTTTTTCGTCCTCTTTCGTTCTTGTTCGTTTTTTTTCATCCTTTTCGTCCTTTTTCGTGCTTATTATCCTTTTTCGTCCCCATTCGTCCTTTTTTCGTCCTTTTTCGTCCTTTCTTCGTCCTTTTTCGTTCTTTTCGTCATTCTTCGTCCTTATTATCCCTTTTCGTCCTCTTTCGTTCTTTTTCGTCCTTTTTCGTCTTTTGTCGTCGTTTTCGTCCTTTTTCGTCCTTTATCGTCCTTCTCGTCCATTTTCGACCTTCGTCCTTTTTCGTCCTTCTTCGTCATTTTTCGTCCTTTTGGTCCTTTTCCGTCATTTTTCGTGCTTGAACGTCCTTTTTGTCCTTTTTCGTCATTTCTTGTACTTATTCGTCCTTTTTTCGTCCTTTTTCGTTCTTTTCGTCCTATTTCGTCCTTATCATCCTTTTTCCTACTTTTTTGTCTTTGTTATCCTTTTTCGTCCTTCTTCGTCATTTTTCGTCCTTTACGTCCTTTTTCGTCCTTGTTCATCCTTTTTTCGTCCTTTTTATTATCCTTTTTCGTCTTTATTGTCCTTTTTCTTTCTCTTTCGTCCTTTTTCGTTCTTCTTCGTCCTCGTGTAATAGAGAAATTGAAAAGTAGATTTTTTGTTTCGGGTTTTAAATCTTAGATTTTCAAATTTTTCATCTTTTCGATATATCTATTTTTCGATTTTTCAATTCTTCGGTTTTACGATTTTTTTATGTTTCTATTTCTTGACATCTCTGTTTTTCGATTTTTTGAATTTTTCGTTTTTTAGATTTCTCGATTTTTCAAATTTTCAATTATTATAATTTTTCATTCTCTTCTCAGTGCTAATATCAAACAATGTACCGAAAATAAACAGAAAAATTTGTCACTAAAACATTAACTCTTTCTAAATTTATTACTTTTAGATTTTTCAATTTTTCCACGTTTTGTTTTTCGTCTTTTCAGTTGTTTGCTTTTCGATTTTTTATCTTGGAAGTTTCCATTTTTCGAAAGAACACATCGAAAACAGAAGAGCGACATGAAAAAAATTCCTGCTTTATAATTTTTCAAAATTTCAGTTCGAATAATCTTGTTTTTTCTTTGTCCAAAATTTAAAAATTCAAAAACGAGAACGTGATTATTTAAAAGCTAAAAATTGAAAACTAGAAAAACTGCAAATCAAAAAATTGAAGACATGAAAATTTGAATAATCGTTTAATTCAAATAAAGAGAAATTAAAATATCTACAAATTGAATATCATGACCGAAAAATTGTAAAATCGAAAAACGTAAAATTGAATAATTCTAAGTCGAAATTGCAAAATCAGAAAACTAAAGAATTTTTACAAATTCAACAACGGGTGTTATGAAAACTATAAGACCTGAAATCGAAAAATTATTAAATCGAAAAATTGAAAGCACAAAATCATCCAAACTGAAAATTTGAAAATCAAAAATCTTGAAATTAATAAACAGAGCCAACTGTAGAATCGAAAAATTGTAAATTTAAATACTCAAAAAATGTAGGTAAGTTGGAAATTTAAAATTGAAAACTGAAAAAATTGCAAAAGCAAAAAAAAATCATAAAATCGAAGAATCGAAAACTGAAAAAACGAAAAAACTTATTTTTTGTTCTATTTGTCGTCGATTGTTCTTTCAATTTGATCTTTTCTTTCTCTAGTTGATTCATTTCGGTGATCACTTAACAAATATAGTGTGTATCCTTGATTTAAATATTTACAAAATAATAATTCAAGAAATCCTTTAAACGTGTTTATCATAGTCGTGATCAAGATAATTTTAATCAAATGCGCTGGACAAACCAAAATAAAACTTCCATCAATTATACTTACAGCAACAATATCTTTTTATTACGTTATAAATACGACTTTTAACGAAATCAACTTCAGCAATCAAAATGGGTTCTTCAATACTAAACATACTCTTTTTTATTTTTCTTTATAAAGTTAGCAACAATGAAAAAATTACTTTCAAGAATGTAACAGCTCTGTGGCGTCTTGATAACAAAGTGGAAAAAACTGTGGCTACGTCTGATAATTTAAAGAAAATCGTTCCTGACGAAGAACAAGTGTCGGTGGAAATCACTGGTAACGTTCCTATCTTGTACGAAAAATCGGTTTTCGATATACGAAATCTGAACACATTAGAACTATTCGGCGTGGGCTTGGAACAAATCAAACCCGGAGCTTTCGGTAATTTACCACTTCTAGAAGCTCTCCTTCTGAATTCGAATAACTTGACACAAGTCAAAACTGATACTTTTGTCAATCTAGATATATCGTATGTGGACTTGTCATACAACTCAATCATCCTCCTTCAACCAGGAGCTTTCAAGAATTTCAACGCCGATCACTTGAAACTTAACAACAACAAACTCAGCAAATTTCCAAGCGATGTCTTCGAAAGTCAATGTTCAACACTCTAAGCGCAGACATGTCCTCAAAAGCTTTACTCGCAATTTTAACAATCTTGTTTGTGGCTAGATACAAATAGATGAGTTGTTCCCAAACAAATACAATTTTGTCAGTCCAATTGAAGACAGAGCCGTTGGTGGGATGGTGTGGAGAAGATTATCACTCAAACTCAAGCTTCCAAGAGTAACGTTCTCAAAAACACCACTTAAAAATTCAGTGAGTCTGTTGCTATCAAGTGACACGATTGAAGCGTTGAAATTCTTGAAGGCTCCTGGTTCTAGAAGGGTGATTGAGTTGAAAGACAAATCTACATTCGATACATTTAGATCGGAAAAAGTATCAGTTTTGATTTGTGTCAAGTTGTTCCAAGATAGAAGGAGACTTTCCAAAGGTGGTAAGTTACCAAAAGCTTGCAATTCAATTTCCTCCAAACCCACATCGGACAAGTTAAGTCTGTTCAAATTTGGTATACCGAAAATCGATTTTTTGTACAAGATAGGAACGTGTCCAAAGATGTGCACCGACACTTGGGTAACATCAGGAATGATTTTCTTAAGATTCTCAGATGTAGCTACCGACTCCATTTGTTTGTCATTAAGATACCACTGCACTGTCACATTTTCGATAGTAATATTTTCACTGATAGTAACTTTAACAAATAAAATACAGACTAGTAGGTTTAACACTAAAGAACGCATCTTGATTACTGAAGTAGTTTCCGATAAATGTTGTATTTCTAATGTAATATGGAAAGGTACATACGTATGCTTAACTGAGTTGTTTTCCAATACATTTGATTAAGATTAAGTTTAAAATGTATGAGACACACTTTTAAAAAGAATTTCTAAGATTCTTGGCGAAATTAATTTTCTTTATTAGATAAATATTCAAATCAAGGAAATGGCGTTTTCTTGTTAAGCGACCTTTACTCATCCCACGTTCACTACTAAATATTTTGAAACCAACAAAATCTTGAAGAATTCAGTAAAGGTAAAATTACCGGCACCAATTGATTAAATATATTAAATACTATCCAACGGACACAAGTTGTCCTTTTAGGATAAATACAAACATACAAATTTAATCAACCACTAAACTTAAATTAAATCTTACATTTCTCAAATTTTTTGTAGTAACAAACCTCTTGTGGCTTAAAATGCTACCTCTGTCATAAAGTGCATCTAATGAGATTAGCATCTTCTATTGGATGAAATCGCCTCACGTGATACATGAATTATATTCTCAGTAAAAAAAAATTGTTTATTTTTTTTATTAATAATAATTATTAGAACATAATCATGAGATCTTGAATAAATAAAAATTGAATTAAAATTTTCAAATACAAGAAAAATTATTCTTAAAAAAAACAACAGTTGTTCTATTTGCATATTTATTAATGTAAAATTTACATATATATTACAGCACATAACTCTATAAATTCATATATGTATAGTTGGTAACCAACTCACTACGGTATCTGAAACTTCTCAACCTTTTTAGCACGTTCAGGGATACCATCTGGGTCCGATACTTTTCCTTACTTATATAAATGATATTAAACAGATAATTCGAAACTCTAAGTTTGCCATAGATGATTAGACTAGACTAATAGAATGGTGTTGTATAAAATGGCTTGGACCGCAATAGGGACAAATGCAAAGCTTTACAATACAGAAAGAAACCTGAGTGTGATCCTCCTAGTCATTTTTACAAAAGATAGATTTTAGAAACTGTAGACAGTGTAACCAGCCTAACAAGGCTGGGGCGTGAGTTATATAAAAAAAATAATATTTTTGAAAAAATTAAATTATCGTTAATCGGGTAGCGTGTTTTTATCTCGTCTTCTACCTGAGAAGTGTTAATCACACATCACAGAAAAATGGGAATTCTCTTACCTTTCGAAACTTCCCTTTTCGCTGCTCGAGGGCACGGAGTCACTCACTAGCACCGCTGTTTCGATGCACTATTATTTTAACGGAAGGGTTGGCCGCAAAGTCCGCAAAAAGAAAGTCCAACGTAGTTGAAAATCGGTCACCCTTATTTATTTACACACACTAATGAATTAATCAAAAATTTACACAAGAAAACCAAAATGAACAAGTGGATCACCGCTCGCGGTGACTTCCACAAATTTAGAAAATAAAGCAAATGAAAATTTAACACTGGACAAAATGATCACTAAGACACTTTGAAGCAAAATTTAAAACAAGGAACGCGTCGAGAAGGAACGAGTTGCACTACAAAATCCCGACCAGAGAACTGACAAAAATTGACTAAACTACTCTTTTATAATTTCGCCAAGAGTGGAGACTCCACCCGACGTCAAAGGGGCCAACAAAGAAAAACCAATGGGATGAAATCCCCTGTGTTGGAAAGAAGTGCTTTCTCGTTCTCTCTCGTCTATACCAGCAAAACCGCTCAAATCGCCGTCGATTTACATATTCTTATCAAAAGTCCCTGACAATATCATTTACATTATACCATGAATCTATCGAACAACTTTTTGGAGTGGCCACTGGCTCGCGACTTAACTAGGATGGCCAGACATAGATCTCGAACCCATCAAACATTCTTTTACTTATGACTCGGCTGTTTCTCACAGGTGGAATCGCAAACTTTATGTGGTAGGCTAGATCTATGTCCGTCATCCATCCGAATTTCCAACCTTTTGTTTTCTCAAAACATCTGTACGCAAGTGAGGAATCGCATCACGCCATTTCGATAACGGGATCTCTCAAACAAAGCCCTTCTCTGCCTCTGTCCCCATCCATCATGGTCGCTATAAAACTGTGCCGTTTCTTGAAATTCGACAAAAGGGCTAGGCACGCTTGAAACTCAATTTACTTTTTTAACGACTCCCTCGGAAAAGATCGGACATGTGGTACTATAAAGTTAACCCGAGGGTCCAGTGCCACATGCAGAGAGGACGGGATATAGCGAGATGGGACAAAGGAAGTATATGGATCTATTTGTTGGGATTTTCTGGGAAGGTTCGGAAGAAGTGATTTTTAAGGGGTCGTTAACAAGAATTTCGACCCATGATGAACAGCCGAGACAAATCAGCTCGCGACAATGACCTTTTTTGGGGTTGCACGTGCACTCGTACAAATGCACTTGTTACAACAGCATCAGGGATTTGGGTGTTATTCTTGATACAAAAATTACATTTAATTTACATATTGAATTTGTATACAACCGCATGACTATGGTTTCTTAAAAAGAGTGGTGAGTGACTTTCGGGACATAACAGTTTTGTCAGTCTCATATGTTTCATCAGTTAGGCCTATACGGTAATTTGGTGTCCGTTGTTCAGACGGCCTGGGTAAACTGAACAATTTATTTCTTACTAACTCAGATTTACACGACTAACTATTACAAGAATTAAGTACGAAATAATTCCGGCGCAAGTTGACTGGACTCTCTGGACTCAACTGGCTGAATAATTCTCGTTCCCGAAGGTAGCCTCTATTTAAACACATACTTCCTTCTAGATGTGCGGCGATCGGCATACTTCTGGATTGACGTTCGTGACTTCCCCTTCCAGCATTTTCTTTAGCGATCCCCCGCTCGGTCGTTGTCATTGACGATGAGTCATTATTGGCGTACAGACCAGAAAGCTCTCGACGGTCCATAGGCGTCGTATGGGTTTATTTCGTAACAATATTGCTAGGAAACCTATGTTTTTAGAGGTAGATTATCATAGAACTTTATGTAGTCTAAATTCTCCTTTGGGTCGATGCATTAGGTATGTAAATAATGTATATATGTCAGCGATTCTCAACCTTTTCATCTTCGCGACCCATTTGCCAATACCAGTTTTTATCGCGCCCCCCCCCTCGATTTGCGGGTTAATAAAACGACAATCACTGATTCTCAATTGCTTTCTGTCTCACTTTCTGTCTCACTTTCTGTCTCACTTTCTGTTGCTACCTCCGCCATGTGTGTATTATTTGCGACTTTGTAAAAATTTCCGAATTCTCTCGAACGATCTGGAACGTCTCCGAACCATCCAGCGCATATAAATGCAGTATTTCGTTCGTTGCTAATTAGTGCCAGCCAAACACAGCGTCGTAAGGTAAGTCACACTCAGTGATCCGGTCAATGTTTATCGAGACGTTAATGCAGAATCATGGAAAAATTTTTAAGTGGGCGTAAACAGGTATTACACGATTGTGAAGCATCAACAAGTGCATTGACGAGGGTGGTTCCAAAAAGCAAATCGAGAAAATATTCTCAAGAATACATAAAATTTGGATTTACTAGTACGGAAGTAAATGAAGAAGAAAGGCCTCTGTGTGTCATTTGCTCAAAAATTTTGGCAGCAGACAGCATGAAGCCTAATAAACTTAAACGCCATTTGGAAACGCTTCATAGCGAATATGTTAACAAACCTCGACAATTTTTCGAATTAAAATTGAAATCATTTGAAAAACAAAAAACATTTTTTAAAAAATCGTTGTCTGTACATGAAAAAGCTTTACTTGCGTCGTACAAAGTTTCATATAGAATAGCCAGATGTAAGAAGCCGCATACCATTGGCGAAGAACTTATTCTACCAGCTGCAATTGAAATTGTAGAAACTATGTTAGGAGATAATTTTACCAAACAATTACAGTCTATACCTCTATCAAATGACACTGTTGGACGTCGAATTAGCGATATAGCTAACGATGTACAGCATCAACTTTTTGAGAAATTGCATGATAAATTGTTTTCAATTCAGCTTGATGAGGCAACAGATAGCAATAAAGATGCTCATTTAATTGCCTATGTTCGATTTTGTGCTGGTACGTCAGCAGTAGAAGAACTGCTTTTCTGCAAACCAATAGAACTCAAAGCAACAGCACTTGCATTATTTGCTATTTTAAATGATTTTGTAAACGAAGGAAACATAGAATGGAAAAACTGCGTCGGAATATGCACCGATGGTGCTCGTGCAATGTCTGGAAGATTCCAAAGTATGCAAACACTTGTGAAACAAAAATCTCCACAATGTGTATGGACGCATTGCATGATCCATAGAGAAGCTTTGGCTTCCAAGGAAATGAGTCCTGGTTTGAATATTGTGCTAACGACGGTTGTAACAGCAGTAAATTATATAAAAATGAGACCTTTAAAATCCAGAATATTTTCTGAACTTTGCAAAGACATGGGTGCAGTACATTCATCGTTATTATTTTATTGCAAGACGAGATGGTTATCACGGGGAAGATTTTTGCAACGTGTTTATGAATTAAGAGAAGAAATCGCCATTTATTTAGAAGAGGAACACCGACCGGAAGCCGAGAAGTTTCGAGATTATTTATTTGTTATGAAATCGAGCTACTTGGTCGATATTTTCGAGAAATTAAACATTTTGAATCTTTAACTCCAAGGAGCAAACACACATATGTTAGATACTAGTGATAAAGTTACTGCTTTTTGTAAAAAATTGGAATTGTGGAACAGAAATGTGAAGCAAAAAAACCTAGAAATGTTTCCAAACGTGGATGAATGTGTTAAAACTTACAAGGTTGAAGAACAACATATAAAAATTGTTTTTGTAACCATTGAAAATCATCTAGCCATGCTGGCAAAGAATTTTAAAAAGTATTTTTTTGCTGATGAGAATTTGCTAGCAGGTTACGACTGGGTTAGGGATCCATTTCAAAACACTCCTGATAGCCTCTCAACTCCTGAAGAACAAATCTTCATAGACTTCACGGCAAGCGGCGAAATCAAAAGACAATTTAGTAACAAACCACTCTTTGAATTTTGGGCAAGCTTGGATAATGAGTTTTCTGCGCTGAAAACAAGAGCGCTACGTATACTACTACCATTTTCAACATCGTACCTTTGTGAAACTGGATTTTCTGCGATGGCTGCAATGAAGACAAAATATAGATCTCGACTGAATGTAGAAAAAGAACTTAGAGTGTCAATTTCTCAAATTAAACCGCGTTTCGAAAACCTTTGTGCGGCTAAACAGGCTCAAGGGAGTCACTAATAATAACCATTATTTCTGTATTTTAATTTAATTATTCAGAATGAATTTTATTTACTTTTTTTTAAATATATATTTTTTTTTTCAATAATATATTTTATTTTTTCTAAATAATATATTTTCTTATTGGCTCGCGCCCCCCCTCTGGTGTTGTCGGGCCCCCTAGGGGGGCGCGCCCCACAAGTTGAGAATCGCTGATATATGTCAATAGATTTCTTCAGTGCGAATGTTTAAAAGTTTAACAGAAATTTAAGTATATAATTATAAGTAACCATTCTAAATTGTCATGAGCGTTAGTACACTTCATGTCATATATTTCATTTCAAATAACATTTCTTCAATTTAGCACAAAAAAAAAATAAAACTTTCGTTAAAGACATGATATGGAGGCAATTTTCACTTACGAATCCTTTCAAACTCCATGATAACAACTCTTTTATTAATTGTTTTATAATAACTCATCTCATATGCTACGGGTTTATATTCTAGTAATTATATGTCTCAATCTGGAATCTTATTGGTTATTAAATTATAATAACTGACATTTACTAATGGTGTGTTACTCTCTACAAAAAAACAATTAGTTCTTTTAACTGCATATGTATTAAACCAAAAACTACAAATAATGTGTTAAATCAATGTTATAAAAATTAGAATCCGCCTTAATCGACTCACTCCGCTGGCGTTATAATAACTTCCTCTATCTTCTTAACACACTCTTCATTCCAAGGATTATTTTGCAAATTTGTAACTTCAACGTTTTTGAAAACCGTCTTCAAATCTCCTTCAATACACTGTAACTTATTTCCATTGAGATCCAAGCGACCAACACTAACATTCCCCAACAAATCTGGACTCCAACTATCAATATCGTTAGAGGCCAAGTTTAAATCATAATCAACGCGTTCCAACTTATCAAATGCTTTAGCTGAAATCTTCCCAATTTGATTCCCCTGAAGACTAATACTCTTCATACGAGGATAATTCTTGAACGCCGCGTCTGGAATCTCAGTTATTTCATTAAAATTGACTGAAATATGAGCAAGTGATTTTGCCCCTCTCAGCCAATTATTATCCCACTGGGTTAGATTATTGGAGTCAATGTACAATATTTCAAGCTCTGGCATGTCATCAAAAGCTTTACTCGCGATTTTAGCAATCTTATTTGCGTTTAGATCCAACTCAGCGACTTTGGTATTGTTGAAAACCCCCTCTGGGATTTCTTTCAATCCGTTTCTCGGAAGTCTAAGTATCTCCAACTCTGGTAAGTTTCTCAAATTACCGGGTTCCAGAAACTTGACTAAATTATCACCCAACTCGAGTGTTATTAATTCTTGCATGTCAAACGCCTCTGGATCCATTTCCTCGAGTTTGTTCCCAAACAGACTCAATCCTCTCAATGCAATTGTCGACAAAGCACTTGGTGCGATGGTGTGGAGAAGATTGTCACTTAAAATCAAGTTTTCAAGAGTAAAATTTTCGAAGACACCACGTGGAAGTTCAGTAAGTTTGTTGTAACCAAGAACCACGCGTTCAGCTTTGAAATTTTTGAAGGCTCCTGGTTGTAGAAGGACGATGGAGTTGAATGACAAGTCTATGTAAGACAGATTTAAATCAACAAAAGTATCAGTTTTGATTTCTGTCAAGTTATTCGAATCCAGAAGGAGAACTTTTAAAAGTGGTAGATTACCAAAAGCTCCGGGTTTGATTTCTTCCATACCTACACCGGGTAGGCTGAGTATGTTCAGATTTGGTATATCGGAAACCGATTTTTCGTACAAGATGGGAATGCTGCCATGGATCCACAAGCGTACTTCGTCTTCTTCATCAGGAATGATTTTCTTAAGATTGTCAGATGTATATACCGTTTCTTTGATCTCATCACCGACATACCATTGAACCGTCACATTTTCAAAAGTAATTTTTTCAGTGTTACTAAGTTTCCAAAGAAAAGTACACAGGAGTAGGTTTATTAGTGAAGAACGCATTTTGAATACTGAAGTTGTTTATGCAGAACGTCGTATTTATACGGTAATAAAGGATTTTCCAATACGTTTGATTAAAATTAAGTTAGTCACATGATGACGATTTCTTGGATTGGTAGTGAAATAAATTTTCTTTATTAAAAAATATTCAAATCAAAGCAGCGCTAGATTATTTTTTGGATATACTTTCCTTTCAACAGCACGTTATTTGAAAAACATGTCCCACACAATAATTTCTTGTAGAGAAATAAACATTTTCCGATAAATTCCGCCCTTCGGCTCACAACGAATAAAAACGTTATTACAATTGAAATGAGGGCGGGTGGGCGGCGTTTGTAATTTGCTTTTTTTTCTTAATATATGTGCGTACTTTTCTTTTCGCGACAAGAAACTGAAAACATGTTTAAAAGGGTAAATTTGTAAAGAAGTATATTGGATAAAATTTACCATTTTAAACATGTTTTTAGTTTTTTGTAATGGAAAAAAACAATATATATTAAGGAAAAAAAAATGCAAAACATAAGCCCCACCCACCCACCCTACCTCAATTGTGACGCTCTTTCTTTGTTCGTCATTAGTCAAGAGAGGCGGAGCAAAATTCGTATTTTTCTAGAAAAATTACCATGTGATACATGTTCTTCAGTGATGCTCAGAGAAAAATATTTGTGTTTTAAGTAACAAAAAACAATAATCTCCACCCATCCGTCTGGATCTCAATGGTGATGAATTTTCCATTCGTTGTCAGACTGGGGGGCGAAACGTAATTACAAAGTCCATATTTCCTGATTTAAACACGTTTTAAGTTTCTTGTTGCGAAAAGAACACTACGAATATTAAGAACACAAAAGACAAAATATAAGCCCCGCCCACCCACATCACGTCTATTGTAATGAATTTTTTGTTCATAGTGAGAAAAGAGGGTGGACCTTAAAATCCTTATTTCTCTACAGGAAATTATCATGTAAAACATGTCTTTGAGTATCGTGTTGTTCAAAAAATACTATGTACATTAAGTAAAAAATAAAGGCAAAGATTAAGCCCCACCACCATACTCATCTCCATAAAAAAAAAATAAACTTTATTCAATTCATGGATAAAAGACTGTCTTGAACTAATATTAATTGACGAAAACGCTTTCTTGCTTTCTTATAATATTATAAAATTTGATTTTGCGATTTTCGCTTTCGTGGTAACAACGGAAAATTTGGAAAAACATCTGATTGTTAATTTTAACAGAAAACAAAGTATGGTTAACATTTCATAGTCTATATGATATTCATAATACACATAAAATTTGTCTAACCCATTTATCTGTCTAATAAAAAACCGTGACGGCAGACAGACAGACGGAAATGGGCGACCTATTTCTTCGTACGCTAGGTCATGGAAGGTCGAGAAAACATGAAACTAGAGAGTAAAAAAAACAACAGTTGTTTTATTTGCATACGTATTAAAGTAAAAACTACATATTTCTTATAGCACAATATTCGAACAAATTGTAAATGGGTATCTGCTTCTTTTTTTTCTGTAACTTCGCAATCTTCTTAGCACACTCTTTTTTCCAAGGATTATTTTCCAAACGTATCTTTTGAACATTCTTGAAAATTGTTTCCAAATCTCCTTTAATACACTTTAACCTATTTCCACTGAGATCCAAACCAGCAATGCTAACATTCCTCAATGTTTCTGGATCCCAGTTATCAATCTCATTATCGGCCAAATTAAAATAACGAATCTGTTCCAATTTCCGAAAAGCTTTAGTTGAAATCTTCCTAATGCGATTCCCTTGAAGATTAATATTGAACAACCGAGAATAGTTCTTGAAAGCTTCATCTGGAATCTCAGTAATCTGATTAAAACGAACTAAAATAGAAGCAGACGGTGATGTCAGCCAATCATCCCACTGGGTTAGATTATTGGAGTCAATCTTCAACACTCTAAGCGCCAACATGCCATCAAAAGCTTTACTCGCAATTTTAGCAATCTTGTTGTTGGCTAGATACAAGTTGGTGAGTTTGGTGTTGTTAAAAACTCCTTCTGGGATTTCTTCCAATTGGTTGTTCGAAAGCGAGAGTTCCTTCAACTCTGGTAAGTTTCTCAAATCACCAGGTCGCAGAAACTTGATTAAGTTGTAATCCAAATCGAGTGATTCCAATTCTTGCAGGTCAAAGACTTCCGGATCGATTTCCTCGAGATTGTTGTCAAGCAGATCCAATCTTGTCAATCCAAGTGCAGACAGAGCTTTTGGTGCGATTGTGTAGAGAGAATTACTATCCAAATTTAATATTCCGAGAGTAACATTTTCAAAAACACCAAATGAAAGTTCAGTGAGGTTGTTGTTTTCAAGTGTCACGTTATCAGCTTTGAAATTCGTGAAGGCTCCTGGTTGTAGAAGGAAGATTGAGTTGGATGACAAATCTACATTCGATACATTTAGATCGGTAAATGTATCACTTTGGATTTCTGTCAGGTTGTTCGAATTCAGGACGAGTTTGTTCAAAAGTGGTACATTACCAAAAGCTCCCGGTTTGATTTCTTCCAAACCTACGTTAGACAGCTCAAGACTGTACAGACTTGGTATATCGAAGATCGAGTTTTCGTACAAGATGGGAACGTTTCCAGTGATTGTCACCTCGTCTTTTACGTCAGGAATGACTTCCTTAAGACTGTCAAATGTAGCTACCTTTGCTTCTGGTACGTCATTACGAGCAAGCACAACTGTCACGTTCTCGAAGGTATTTTCACTGTTACTAACTTTGACAAGAAAAGTGCAGACTAGCAGGTTTACTAGTGAAGAACGCATCTTGATTACTGAAGCTGTTTACGTTAAATATCGTATATATAAGCTAACATAGAGGAAATTAGTCACATCTATCTCTGTGACACACACTTTTAAACAGAATTGCTAGGATTCGTGGTGAAATGAATTTTCCTTATTAAATAAATATTCAAATTAAGGAAATGAGTTTTTGTTAAGCGACTTACTCATACAACTTTTACTTACAGTTTTGAAAACAACAAAATCTTACAGGAATTGTACAATTTTCTATCTATCCAACTAAAATAAAATCGGCAGATACTAGGTAACAATTGCATGAATGGTTGTAAACAATGAAACCACCAAGTCTTGGTAGCCTTAAGTCGCCCATTTAAGTATTAACAACTAATTAATTAATTAATAATCAATACACAAACAAATTACAATCATAAATTTCATCAAACTCTAAAAAATTTTGGGCGTATCTTCAAACTAGAAAAGGAAGATCTAGAATGCCAAGACTCATGAAATTTTCAGATCACCAGATGAGTTTAATAATCCGTAAATCAGAATTGACAGTACATCTCAGTTGAAACTGTGAAACAATCCGAAAACTCATTGACAGGAGATCTGCATATTATCTAGAATTCGTTTTAGGAAAATGTGCTTCAATTTTTACAACAAAAACAAATGTTATTATTTATTAAATAATCATACTTTCCTATGATCCGGAAAAAAAATTGGTCTAAAGAGTAAAAAGATAGCAAGCCTTTCATTTCACTCTCCATTTCTTGATATATATAAAAAAAATACGTCAAATTTGTCAAATGAGACGTTATAATTTTGATAGGATTATTTGATAAAGCTTATCGAATCCGTCGACCGACTCTCTACTTTTACGTTTGCTCAACCTCTTATGACCCCTACAGTAAGTAGAAATAGGTCTCCCGTTTCCGTTTGTCTGTCTGTCCGTCTGTCCGTCTGTCTGCCGTCCCGGATTTTTATTAGACAGATAATTTTCGAAATTACTGGGCCAATTGTTGTCAAATTTTGTATTTATACTAGGTATATCATGTAGATGGTAAAACGCTAACCAAAATTTGTCTAATCATCCCCACCACTAATGTGATGACGTCACTTCAAAATTGTACATAGTAAATGGGTTTTAAATTGTATCAAATAACATAGTCTTACATATATAATTTATGACTCCGAACTGAGATTTTACCCGAAACGTCCACATTTTTGTAAAAAAAATCAAAATTAGAGAACAACATTTTGACATTTAATTTGGAATCTCCAAAACCGAATGCTTTGAAATCTTGCAGATCATTTACAGTTATGATAAGCATGATAAGTTTTTATTCAAAATATACTTACTTGTCCACTCCAAAAAAATTGATGACGTCAGCTCGAAATTTTGCCAATAAATCCTATCTAAAATGTAGAAAATATGATGAGTCTGAACTTGTAATTTATCATTCGATCCATATTTTTTGGATTTGCATGTATAGGGTAATAAATGCGTGAATTTATTTTATTTATTTAATCAGGAACCAAAAAACCGATTGCTTTGAAATCTTGGAGATGTTTTACAGCTATCATAGGCATAGTAAAATTTTAGTCAAAAGTTTTTGGTTTAATAAATATTCACTTCTTGGTTTAATACATATGCAGATAAAACTGTTGTTTTTAAGGGCCTTTTCATTGAATTAGATATTAGGATAGATAGAAAATGGCACAATTCATTCAGATTTTGTTGTTTTCAAAACACAGTGAAGGTCAGATAAGTAATAATAAAAAAAATCATTTCACCACACATACTAGAAATTCTTTTTAAAAGTGTGAGTCAGACACCACGTCACTCACAAACTTAATTTTAATCACTTTCACATCCTTCTATGTTACCTTATAAATATGACATTTAACGTAAACATCTTCAGTACTCAAGATGCGTTCTTCACTGGCAAACCTACTAGTCTGTACTATAGCACAGGGCGACTGATAAATAACAAGTAATCCTCAATAGTGATGAAGAAATCCATATTTCAGTACAAATAATTACCATTTTAAACATGTTTTAAGTCTCTTGTTGTGGAAAGATGACTACGTATATTAAGAAAAAAAGGTAAGATATATTCCCCGCCCACCCGCCTTATCTCAATCGTGACTTTTTTTACTCGTCGTAAGTCATGGGGCGGAGCTTAATTACAAAATTCTTATTTTTGACAAGAAATTGCTATGTGTTGTATCTTTAAATACAAAAGAAAGCCAAAACATAAGCCCCACTCATTCGTCTCAATCTGAGTTTGGCTTTAAATTTTTACTTAATAAACATAACTGGTATTCCTTAAACAATACGATACTTAAAAACATGTTCGTGGTAATTTCTTGTAGAGAAATAAGGATTTTGCAAGCTCCGCCCTCTTGGCTGACGACGAATAAAAAAAATCATCACAACTGGAAAAGGGAGGGTGGGCGGGCCTTACTTTTTTCTCCTTTTTTCTTTATATACGTAGTCATCTTTTCATGATAATAAATTAAAACATGTTTAAAATGGTAAATTTTTGTAGGAAAATATTAATTTTCCAGTTACGTTTCGGCCTTCGATCTGGCAACGAATGAAAAACTCATTACGAGATTAAGCCCCACCCATAACTGTGATAAAATCTGGCTGACAGAAATTGCTCTCCTTTTAACATTTTTCACGTTTATAAAATTGTACGAATACGTCTTGATCAATCAGTAAAATACGATGGGAAAACTTACGTGTTTGATAAATCGTCAAAAGTAAAAATTAAATAAAAATATTCAAAGTAAAAAAAAATCTCCACGAAAAGAAACAAAAGTTGCATAACTGAAAAAGTAACATTTAATAAAAAACCACAACATTAAGGCAGAAACTAGCATAAAATTAGGATACATCCAACTTCTTGTTCATAATAAACTCCTCAACCTTCTTAACACACTGTTCATTCCAAGGATTATTCTCTAAATGAGTAATTTCAACATTTCTGAAAACTGTCTCCAAATCTCCTTCAATACAGGATAACTTATTTTCCTTCAAATCCAAACTACCAACACTAACATCAACCAATAAATCTGGATTCCAGTTATCAATCTCATTATTGGCCAAATTTAAATAATCAATGTGTTCTAATTTATAAAACGTTTTAGCTGAAATATTCCTAATTTTATTCCCCTGGAAATTAATACTTGTCACATGAGAGTTATTCTTGAATACTTCGTCTGGAATCTCAGTAATCAAATTATACCTGACTGATACTTCAGAAACTGATTTTGCCCCACTCAGCCAATTATCATCCCAATGTGTAACATTATTGAAGTCAATGTTCAACACTCTAAGCGCAGACATGTCCTCAAACGCTTTACTCGCAATTTTAACAATATTGTTTGCGGCTAGATACAAATAGATGAGTTTGGTGTTGTTGAAAACCCCTTCTGGGATTTCTTCCAACTCGTTTCCCGAAAGCCAGAGTTTCTTCAACTCTGGCAAGTTTCTCAAACCACCAGGTCGCAAAAGTTTGATTGAGTTGTAATCCAAATCGAGTGATACCAATTCTTGCAGATCAAAGACTTCCGGATCGATTTCCTCGAAATTGTTCCCAAGCAAATACAATTTTGTCAGTCCAATTGAAGACAGAGCCGTTGGTGGGATGGTGTGGAGAAGATTATCACTCAAACTCAAGCTTCCAAGAGTAACGTTCTCAAAAACACCACTTAACAATTCAGTGAGTCTGTTGCTATCAAGTGACACGATAGAAGCGTTGAAATTCTTGAAGGCTCCTGGTTCTAGAAGGGTGATTGAGTTGAAAGACAAATCTACATTCGATACATTTAGATCGGAAAAAGTATCAGTTTTGATTTGTGTCAAGTTGTTCCAAGATAGAAGGAGATTTTCCAAAGGTGGTAAGTTACCAAAAGCTTGCGATTCGATTTCCTCCAAACCCACATTGGACAAGTTAAGTCTGTTCAAATTTGGTATATCGAAAATCGATTTTTCGTACAAGATGGGAACGTGTCCCAAGATGTGCACCGACACTTGGGTTACATCAGGAATGATTTTCTTAACACTCTCCGATGTAGCTACCGATTCTATTAGTTCGTTATCAACACGCCACCGGACTGTCACATTTTCGAAAGTAATTTTTTCGCTCTTACTAACTTTAACAAGTAAAATACAGATTAGTAGGTCTAGCAGTAAAGAACGCATCTTGATTACTGAAGTTGTTTACGATAAATGTTGTATTTATAATGTAATGTGGAAAACTAATTAACTGGATTGTTTTCCAATGCATTTGATTAAAATTAAGTTGGTCACATGTATGATGCACACTTGTAAAAGGAACTTGTTGGATTCGTAGTGAAATGAATTTTCATTATTAGATACATATTCAAATCAAGGAAATGCTCTATTTTTATTAAGCAACTTTTGCTCATCCGACTTTCACTACTGTTTTGAAATCAAGAAAATATTGAACAATTAAAGAAAAACTAAATCAACGGGAGCAATTTTCTAAAAACAATAACATTTTTCAACATAGACTGCTCATGGCGCGTTACGGACAGCCTACATATTAAACGACATCAGTTTTGCACAGACTACAGGGGCAAAATTCGATCTGTTTCTGTGTGGTGATAAGAACAACGCTGATGTTTCACAAATATAAAATAGTTTCTTTCTGAAACCCTTGAACCGGTACATAAAAGCGTGACAATCAAATTAGTTAATTATCACGTGATGAAATTTGTCGAATTACTTGTTAATTGACGGACCGACAATAAAATTATTATTAAAAATTACACAGTTTACACTATGAAATATAATTTTTTTTTCAGAATTTCAATATGCACAATTAAATTTTGACTTTTCTTCTGGATATACGTAACAATCTTTTCACGACAATATATTTAACGTTTAAAATGGTCAGTTTTTCTCGAGAAACATCGATTTTACAATTAAGTTCCGCCCCACGGTCTGATAACGAATGAAAAATTCATCACAATTAAATTGGGGCGGGTGGGTGGGGCTTATTTTTTGCATTTGTTTCCTTTTACATATACATCTTGTTAAAAAACATGTTTCAGAGAGTAATTTCTTGTAGAGAAATAATCATTTTCCAATAAACTTCGCCCTTCTGCTCCCAACGATTAAAAACCTTATCACAATTGAAATGAGGGTGGGTGGGTGGGGTTTGTATTTTGTTTTTTTTTTTTTTCTTAAAACATGTGCCTACTTTTCTTTTCACGACAAGAAACTGAAAACATGTTTAAAAGGATAAATCTGTAGAGAAGTAAATATATGGGATAGAATTTACCATTTTAAACATGTTTTCAGTTTCTTGTTATGGAGAAAAAACAATATATATTAAGAAGAAAAAAAAGCAAAACATAAGCCCCACCCACCCACCCCATCTCAATTGTGACGCTCTTTCTTTGTTCGTCATTAGTCAAGAGGGGCGGAGCTAATTGCAAAATTCGTATTTTTCTAGAAAAATTACCATGTGATACATGTTCTTCAGTGATGCTCAGAGAAAAATATTTGTGTTTTAAGTAACAAAAAACAATAATCCCCACCCATCCGTTTGGATCTCAATGGTGATGAATTTTCCATTCGTTGTCAGACTGGGGGGCGCAACGTAATTACAAAATCCATATTTCCTGATTTAAACATGTTTTAAGTTTCTTGTTGCGAAAAGAACACTACGAATATTAAGAAGACAAAAGGCAAAATATAAGCCCCGCCCACCCACCCCACGTCTATTGTAATGAATTTTTTATTCATAGTGAGCCAAGAGGGTGGACCTTAAAATCCTTATTTCTCTACACGAAATTATCATGTAAAACATGTCTTTGAGTATCGTGTTGTTCAAAAAATACTATGTATATTAAGTAAAAAATAAAGGCAAAGATTAAGCCCCACCACCATACCCATCACCATAAAAAAAAACAATAAACTTTATTCAATTCATAGATAAAAGACTATCTTGAACTAATTTTAATTGACGAAAACGTTTTCTTGCTTATTTCTTATAACATTATAAAATTTGATTTTGCGATTTTCGCTTTCGTGATAACAACGGAAAATTTGGAAAAACATCTGATTGTTAATTTTAGCAGAAAACAAAATTTGGTTAACATTTCATAGTTTATATGTTATTCATAATACACATAAAATTTGTCTAACCCATTTATCTGTCTAATAAAAATCCGTGACGGCAAACAGACGGACAGACAGACGGACAGACGGACAGACAGACAGACGGAAATGGGCGACCTATTTCTTCGTACGCTAGGTCATGAAAGGTCGAGAAAACATGAAACTAGAGAGTAAAAAAAACAACAGTTGTTCTATTTGCGTATGTATTAAAGTAAAAACTACATATTTATTATAGCACAATATTCTATCAAATTGTAATAGCTGCTAACCATCCCACTACGGTATTTGCTTCTTTTTTTTCTGAAACTTCTCAACCTTCTTAGCACACTCTTTTTTCCAAGGATTATTTTCCAAACGTATCTTTTGAACATTCTTGAAAATTGTTTCCAAATCTCCTTTAATACACTTTAACCTATTTTCACTGAGATCCAAACTAACAATGCTAACATTCCCCAATGTATCTGGATCCCAGTTATCAATCTCATTATCGGCCAAATTAAAATAACGAATCTGTTCCAATTTCCGAAAAGCTTTAGTTGAAATCTTCCTGATGCGATTCCCTTGAAGATTTATATTGAACAACCGAAAATAGTTCTTGAAAGCTTCATCTGGAATCTCAGTAATCTGATTAAAACGGACTGAGATAGAAGCGAACGGTGATGTCAGCCAATCATCCCATTGGGTTAGATTATTGGAGTCAATCTTCAACACTCTAAGCGCCAACATGTCATCAAAAGCTTTACTCGCAATTTTAACAATCTGGTTTGTAGCTAGATTCAAATAGGTGAGTTTGGTGTTGTTGAAAATACCATCTGGGATTTCTTTCAACCCATTTTTCTCGAGACTGAACGCCTCCAACTCTGGCAAGTTTCTCAAATCACCAGGTCGCAAAAGCTTGATTGAGTTATCATCCAAATCGAGTGATACTAATTCTTGCATATCAAACACCTCCGGATCGATTTCCTCGAGTTTGTTACCAAACAGACTCAATGTAGTCAATCCAATTGCAGACAGAGCTTTTGGTGCGATGATGTAGAGATGATTATCACCCAAACTTAAGCTTCTCAGAGTAACATTTTCGAAGACACCACTTGAAATTTCAGTGAGTTTGTTCTTATCAAGTGAGACGTGACCAGCTTTGAAATTCTTGAAGGCTCGTGGTTGTAAAAGGAAGATTGAGTTGGATGACAAATCCAGATATGATACATTTAGATCGGTAAAAGTACCACTTTTGATTAGTGTCAAGTTATTCCGATTCAAAAAAAGAGTGTCTAAAAGTGGTAAATTACCAAAAGCTCCGGGCTTGATTTCTTCCAAACCCACGTCAGCCAGGTCGAGACTGTTCAAATTTGGTATGTCGAAAACGGATTTTTCGTACAAGATGGGGACGCCTCCAGTGATGTCCACCCTCACTGGTTCTTCATCAGGAATCATTTTTTTAAGATTGACAGATGTAGCTTGGGTCTCTAGTGCCCCTTTGTAAAAATACGACCGAACTGTCACATTTTCGAAAGTAATTTTATCACTGTTACTAACATTGAAAAGACAAATACGGACTACTAGGTTTAGTAGTAAAGAAGGCATCTTGGTGACTGGAGGTGTTTACGTTGAATGTCGTATTTATAAGGTAGTATGGAAAGGTATGTAGGTGTGACTGATGAATTGTTTTCCAACAAATTTGATTAAAATTAAGTTAGTTACATGTATGACACGGACTTTTAAAAAGAATTTGATAGATTCGTGGCGAAATGAATTTTCATTATTAGATAAATATTCAAATCAAGGATACGCTTATCTCGTCCAGTTACTTACTCATCCGACCTTCATTACTGAAAACTGCTTGAAAAGAACTAAAACATAACGATACTGTACGATTTTCTGTCTATCCAGTTGTTAAAACTTTTTATAATCCACAACAACTTTTACAATCCCTTCATTATCTTTTATTGATACCCCTTCTCGATTCATTTCAAAAATTTTCAATAAGTTAGATTACAACATCGCTTTCAAAACTAAAAAAAGTCTTACTTAAATGTTAATGATTATTGCCCTGCTATCGACATCTAATGTACACGTTCCAAATTTTACAAAAAAAAAATATTAAAACAACTCGCTCATATTATCCGTGCAAAAATTAAAATACCACTCAATTGACAACATTGTCCACAGAGTTTTTTGGTGCCAAGATGTGCTGTCAAAGAAATTGAAGTTAGGACGAATATGATTTTTATTCAAAATACGTCGCTTTTGTTTATTTTATTTTGACGTTTTTGTTATGAAATTTCAAATTTGAAGTTTTTTGTACTACCAACTTGCCAGTGTAAAAATAAACCCTAGAGGGATTTTATTTGGTTTCTTAATTTTGGAATAAACAATTCGCTGCGCTCACTCGGGAAATTGATGAAAAATTATGGCCAATTTTTCAAGGTCGAGGGGTCTTTTGGCAGACTATTTCTTGAAGACAATTGTAAACACTCATAATTAAAATCCAAAATCGCTCTATCCGTATTTTCCTCGTCATCATAACAAACTAAATGTATTAATCTATATAAATAAAAATGAATCGCCGAAACGTATGTACGCTCATAACTTCAGAACGGCTGCACCGAATTGGACGATTCTTTTTTTTACGTGTTCCTCAGTGTCAGGACAAGGTTTATATGTAAGAAAATGTATAAAAAAAATAAGACGGCTAAAAGATAAAAAAAATAAAAATTTTGCATGGGAATCGCTACTTCGAATGAATTTGAATAGTTGGCATTCCTGACGGACCTGTCGTCTGACCAGAGGTCTGCCTGACGTGTCACACAAAACTATTTCTTCCGTGCGATTGTGAAAAGTATTATTGCATTTCAAGTCGTTGTTTGTTTTTTCGTAACAAAAAACGTCGTTTATTTTAAGAAGTGTTCGTTAAAGTGAATTTAGTTACGCATTGCGATAGTTTCTTATTAATTTTGATCTGCCATTCTATTTACCTATATTCACTTTGTTGGTTTCGACAAAACCTCAACCTTTACCGTTATTCGAGGATTTAATTTGAAGTTTTCAATATTTTAAAATTCTCAAGACAAAATTTACAGATTTGATTGACTGTGAAAATAATTCTGTGTCGTTTTATGAAGTTCATTACAATGCCGAGAAGAAATCGCAGTGATTTATTTCATGGGTAATTCGGATACGGAAGTTGATCAGCGTTGTGCTCATAATCAACATAATCAAACATTGAAGCGAGACCTTGGGTGGAATGAATAAAACTGATTAAGATACTCATATTCGAAGTACGAAGGACCTACTTCATTATTACTCTTATATATCTGAGCATCTACTCTATGTACTGAGTACCTACTTGGAAACATTGTATCTCCCCGGACACAAATTGAACATCTACGCGTTTTGTGAGCATTTAATCTAAAAATGAGCATCGGCGTGGCAAATGACTGAGCTGTCTGTAAAGCAGCTTAGAAAACGAGTAGGATCGTTGTAAGAGTGAATTTTGACTAAACATGGCGACTTTCATGAACGTGGAACGTCGTCAAAAGGTGCATTCAGTTTGAAAAACACATTAGGAGCGGGAATAACGAAAACTTTTCAGGTATATAACTTTTATTTATGCATAAATTGTGCAGTGCGTTCTTTCTAACACTGGCCATAGAGATTCCCATCTCAAGGTGTCTACCCCTTACTAACTTATATTTTGGTGACTCGATTTTTGCCTTGATGGTTGAACACTGTCACTGTTTTCCTTTTTTGTTGTATCGAGATGCTACTTGACCATCGACTGTTACCTACTGAAGTATTAGCATCATCTAGAAAAACTAGAAATATTTTGATTTGATATTCGAGTATGAGCATCTACTGAGTTTTATTTATATCAACAATTGTCAAAAAATTGATCGAACGTTGTTTCGACAGAACTTCCCTCGCACCAAAAGTATAACGAAACATATTCAGCATTTTCGAGTTGAGTCTTTTCTTCACACAATTTTGTGATGACCCAATCAACATTTACGATCAACACGTATACCACCCTGGATTGGTGCAGTGTAATACTAAAAATAACTGTATTGTATTCCCAAAATTATCTGCGAAAATCGAGTGAGCCGTTCCATCAATTTTTTGGGGGGAATAAATAAATATTCTTAACAATGCTTACAATAAGTTTAAAACGTCTGCAAGATCTCAAAGTATACATTCTTCCACTCTTGAATTATTCACTAAAATAAATTGACAGATCGATAAATTTTTTTGAGTCACTGTAAAAGCAAATCTAAAAAATATGAATCCAATGATAAATTACGAAAATATACTGATGATATTTTGCACATTTTAGATAGGATTTATTCGGCAAAATCTTGAGATGACATCATAAAGTTTTTGGGCTTGATAAACAGATATATTTTGATTAAAAACCTACCATGTCAAACAGTAACTTCGAAGCGTCTGCAATATTTCAAAATTCAGTTTTGCGATTCTTGATTCAATCAATAAAATAAATAGACTCAGTGATTAATTTTTTTGAGACACCCCTTATAAGCAAAACTAAAAAATATGAATGGAATGATAAATCACAAGTATAGTCTCATTCTATTTTGGACATTTTAGGTAGGATTCATTTGGCAAAATTTTGGGCTGACGTCATCAATTTTTTGGAGGGAATAAGTAAATATATTTTGAATAAAAATTTATTATGCTTATCATATGTTTAAAACATCGGCAAGATTTCAAAGCATTCGGTTTTGCAGATTCAAAATTAAATTGTAGGTGAAACGAAGTTCACGGGGTCAGCTAGTATCATTATAAAATTTGGTGTGTTTTCATTGGTCCATGCGGGGAAATGTTCGCTTGATACTATGCTATCATTGGTTGATGCAGGGAGCTTGTCGATGGAAAAGTTTTTGACTAAAAAAATGTTCACGTAAGTCGCCTATGATTTGTCATAGTTTGATTTTTCTCACAATTTTATTGGACGAAATTTTCTGAGAAAAATAGTCTTAAGAATTTATTTCGTTTGAAATAAATATTGAACTAAAAATTTTAAATATATGCAATTAAATTTATTCTTAAAATAAAACAACAGTTGTCCTATCTGCCCATGTATTAATCGAAGAACTGCATATTTATTATAAGTAACACGATATTCTATAGAATTAGTATAGTTGGTAGCCACCCCACCAGGATATCTATTTTTTCTTCTACTGTAACTCCACAATCTTCTTAGCGCATTCTTCCTCCCAAGGATTGTTATCCAAATAGACAATTTGAACATTTCTGAAAATTGTTTCCAAATCTCCTTTAATGCACTTTAATCTATTTCCACTGAGATCCAAACTAACAATGCTAACATTACCCAGTAAATCTGGATTCCAGTTACCAATCTCATTATAGGCTAAATTTAAATGATCAATGTGTTCTAATTTATAAAACGCCTTAGTTGAAATCTTCCTAATTTTATTCCCCTGGACATCAATTTTGGTCACATTAGAATTATTCTTCAATACTTCGTCTGGAATCTCAGTAATCAAATTATAACTGATTGAAATTTCAGAAATTGATTTTGCCTCACTCAACCAATTATTATCCCAATCTGTAACCTTATTGAAGTCAAGTCTCAATACTATAAGCTCAGGCATGTCCTCAAATGCTTTACCAGCAATTTTAGCAATCTGGTTGTTGGCTAGATACACGTAGGTGAGTTTGGTGTTGTTAAAAACTCCTTCTGGGATTTCTTCCAATTGGTTTTCCGAAAGCCAGAGTTCCTTCAACTCTGGTAAGTTTCTCAAATCACCAGATCGCAGAAGCTTGATTGAGTTTGAATACAAATCGAGTGATACTAACTCTTGCATATCAAAAATTTCCGGATCAATTTCCTCGAAATTGTTTCCAAACAACTTCAGTCTTGTCAATCCAATTGCAGACAGAGCTCCTGGTGCGATGGTGTATAGAAGATTATGATTCAAACTCAAGGTTCCAAGAGTAACGTTTTCAAAGACACCACTTGAAAATTCAGTGAGTTTGTTGCTATCAAGTGACACGTATTCAGCTTTGAAATTCGTGAAGGCTCCTGGTTCTAGAAGGGTGATTGAGTTGGATGACAAAACTACATGCGATACGTTTAGATTGGTAAAAGTAGCAGTTTTGATTTGTGTCAAGTCGTTCGAAGCAAGAAGGAGATCTTCCAAAAGTGGTAAGTTACCAAAAGCTTCCGGTTCGATTTCTTCCAAACCCACGCTGGACAAGTCAAGTGTCTTCAAATCAGGTGCATCGAAAACCGATTTTTCGTACAGGATGGGAACGTGTCCAAAGATTTCCACGGACACTTGGGTTTTATTGGGAATGATTTTCTTAAGATCGTCAGATGTAGCTACCGACTCTACTAGTTCGTCATTAAGAGACCACTGCACTGTCACATTTTCGAAAGTAATTTTTTCACTGATAGTAACTTTAACAAGTAAAATACAGACTAGTAGGTTTAACACTAAAGAACGCATCTTGATTACTGAAGTAGTTTACGATAAATGTTGCTTTTATAATGTAAGATGGAAAGTTATAGATGTACGTGTGATTAACTGAGTTGTTTTCCAATACATCTGATTAAGATTAAGATGACATGCATGACACGCACTTTTAAAAGAATTTCTAAGATTCTTGGTGAATTCAATTTTCTTTATTGGATAAATATTCAAATCAAGAAAATGACGTTTTCATGTTAAGAGAGTTTTACTCCTCCCACGTTCACTGCTATTTTGAAACCAACAAAATTTTGAAGAATTCAGTAAAAGTAAAATTACCGAGAACAATTGACCAAAAATAATTAACATTATTAAAAGTTGGTCGAAGGTTATTTCGACGGGACTTCTCTCGTACAATTCAACAAATCCTACAAATAATATATTGCAACTATCCAACGGACAAAAGTTGTCCTTTTAGGATAAATACAAAAATTGGTCTAAAGAGTTTAGACAGTACTTCCCTCGCTGTCGGAAACTTGACGACTGCATGCCTATTGTGTTTTTTTCTCATTACATTTTTGTAGTGGGAATTTAAAAAAAAATTGCGCTGACGTCATCAACATTTTTGCAAGGACACGTATATCAGTTGGGATAGATGTAGTGTAATACTAAGAATAAAATTATTATATTCTCAAATTTTCGGGAAAATGAATTGGGTCGTTTGAATATTGATTTGTAATAATCAATAAAATAACGAAACAATTTACTCACGTATACCTACGTATCAGAGGCAACTGAAAATCGTGTATGTATAAACATTCTTAATTTAAGATGACAGGCGTAACAGCATACGTGAGAGCCAAACAGAGAAACTGTAAACAAAACGACCGTCGGTTTTATTGTTTCGACTTCCGCTTATTATATAAAACATTGGGTTTTATTTTAATTCTTGACGGTGAAATTCACAATTGGTTGATTATAAACATGTCTATTTCACATTCGCCGAATCAAGTGAACGCATAAAACAAATGCAGGTCTGTAATGTTAAAGTCGATGTAAATAAGCGTGCTACCCTTATGTTTCAACCGAGTTTTTCCTTTAACAAATTTTGTGTCTACCAAATTGGGTTGGTTGGGTTGTAATACTAATAATAAGTGTTGCCTTTAATTTAATCAATAAAATAAATTGACTTCATTAATTTTTTTGAACCACCTCTTAAGAAAATCTAAAAAATATGAATGGAATGATAAATCACAAGTACAAACTCATCATATTTTTTGCATTTTAGATAGGATTTATTCAGCAAAATTTAAGGGTGACGTCATCAATTGTTTTAGGAGGGATGAACAAATACATTTTGAACAAAAGTTTACCATGCTTATAATAACTTTAAAATATTCCCAAGATTTCAAAGCATTCGGTTTTGTAATTCCTGATTAAATTGATAAAATAAATTCACGCCTTCATTAATTTTTTTGAGTCACCCTGCATATGCAAATCCAAAAATATGAATGGAATGATAAATCACAAGTACAGACTCATCATATTTTGTACATTTTAGATACGATTTATTCGGAAAACTTTTGAGCTGACGTCATCAGTTTTTTGTAGAAGATAACCAAATATATTTTGACTAAAAATTTATTATGCTCTTTATAACCTTAAAACATCTGCAAGATTTCAAAGCATTCGGTTTTGTAGTTCCTGATTAAATCAATAAAATAAATTTACGCATTCATTAATTTTTTTGAGTCACCCTGTATATGCAAATCGAAAAAATTTTAATGGAATGATAAATCACTAGACGAGACTCACCATATTTTGTACATTTTAGATAGGATTTATTCAGCAAAATTTTGTGGTGACATCATAAATTTTTTAGGGGGGACGACCAAATACGTTTTGATCAAAAATTTACCATGCTTATGATAATTTTAAAATATCTTCAAGATTTCGAAGCATTCGGTTTTGTAGTTCCTGAGTAAATCAGTAAAATAAATTTACGCTTTCATTTATTTTCTTGAATCACCCTGTATATGCTAATCCAAAAAATATGAATGGAGTGATAGATCACAAGTACAGACTGATCATATTTTGTACATTTTAGATATGATTTATTCGGCAAATTTTCGAGCTGACGTCATCAAGTTTTTGGAGGGGATAAGCAAATATATTTTGACTAAACATTTATTATGCTTTTTATAACCTTAAAGCATCTGCAAGATGTCAGAGCATTCCGTTTTGTAGTTCCTGATTAAATTAATAAAATATATTTACGCATTCATTAATTTTTTTGAGCCACTCTGTATATGCAAATCCAAAAAATATGAATGGAGTGATAAATGACAAGTACAGGCTCATCATATTTTGTACATTTTAGATATGATTTATTCGGCAAACTTTCGAGCTGACGTCATCAAATTTTTGGAGGGGATAAGCAAATATATTTTGACTAAACATTTATTATGCTCTTTATAACCTTAAAACATCTGCAAGATTTCAGAGCATTCGGTTTTGTAGTTCCTGATTAAATCAATAAAATATATTTACGCATTCATTAATTTTTTTGAGTCACCCTGTATATGCAAATCCAAAAAATATGAATGGAGTGATAGTTCACAAGTACAGACTCATCATATTTTGTACATTTTAGATATGATTTATTCCACAAACTTTTGAGCTGACGTCATCAAGTTTTTGGAGGGGATAAGCAAATATTTTTTGACTAAAGATTTATGATGCTCTTTATAGCCTTAAAACATCTGCAACATTTCAAAGCATTCTGGTTAGCAGATTAAAAATTAAATTTCAAAATGTTGTTTTATAATTTTGATTTTTTTTTCCAAAAATCTGGACGTTTCGGGTGAAAAGTCGATTCAGAGTTGTAAACTACATGTGTAGGACTATGTTATTTTATACAATTGAAAACCCATTTACTATGTACAATTTTGAAGTGACGTCATCGCTTTAGTGGTGGGGATGATTCGACAAATTTTGGTTAGCGTTTTACCATCTACATGATATTCTTAATATAAGTACAAAATTTCACAACAATCGGTCGAGTACTTTCGGAGATTATCTGTCTAATAAAAATCCGTGACAACAGACGGACAGACGGACAGACGGACAGACGGACGGAAAGACGGACAGACGGACAGACGGACAGACAGACGGAAATGGGAGACCTATTTCTTCGTCTTCTAGGGGTCATGAAAGATCGAGAAAACGTAAATGTAGAGAGTCGGCCGACGGACTCGATTACAATACTTCCTTTGCTTACGCTCGGGAAGTAAAAATACAAATTTAATCAACCAATAAACTCAAATTAAATCAGACATTTCTCCAATTTTTTGTAGTAACAAACCTCTTGTGACCACATTAAAATGCTACCGCTGTGATAAAGTGTGTCTAAAGAAATTACCATCTTCTGTTGGATGAAATCGCCTCACGTGATACATGAATTATATTCTCAGTAGAATAATATAAGTTGAATTTTTCCATAATAATAATAATTTGTTTATTTTTTTTTATTAATTATTATTAGAAAATAATCATGAGAACTTGAATAAATAAAAATTGAATTAAAATTTTCAAATAAGTACAATAAAAATTATTACATGATCGTTTTCCGGGTTGGACTTCATGTCATATAATTCATTTCAAATAACATTTCTTCAATTTAGCACAAAAAAATAAAACTTACGTTAAATACATGATATGGAGGCAATTTTTACTTACGAATCCTCTCAAACTTCATGATAACAACTCTTTTATTATTTATTTTATAAAAATCATCTTATATGCTACGGGTCAATCTGGAATCTCAGTTATTAGATTATAATAACTGACATTTATTAATGATGCGTTACTCTCTACAAAAAAAAACAATTTATTCTTCTAACTGCATATGTATTAAACCAAAAACTACAAATAATGTGTTAAATCAATGTTATAAAAATTAGAATCCGCCTTAATCGACTCACTCCGCTGGCGTTTTAATAAATTCCTCCATCTTCTTAGCACACTTTTCACTCCAAGGATTATTTCGCAAATTTGTAACTTCAACATTTTTGAAAACCGTCTTCAAATCTCCGTCAATACATTGTAACTTATTTCCATTGAGACCCAAACCACCAATACTAACATTCCCCAACAAATCTGGACTCCAACTATCAATATCATTAGAGGCCAAGTTTAAATAATAATCAACGCGTTCCAACTTATCAAATGCTTTAGCTGAAATCTTCCCAATTTTATTCACCTCAAGATCAATACTCTTCACACGAGGATAATTCTTGAACGCTTCGTCTGGAATCTCCGTTATTTGATTAAAATTGACAGAAATATGAACAAGTGATTTTGCCCCTCTCAGCCAATTATTATCCCACTGGGTTAGATTGTTGGAGTTAATGTACAATGCTACAAGGTCTGGCATGTCATCAAAAGCTTTACTCGCGATTTTAGCAATCTTATTTGCGTTTAAATCCAACCGAGTGAGTTTGGTATTGTTGAAAACCCCCTTTGGAATTTCTTTCAATTCGTTTCTCGCAAGTCTAAGTATATTCAACTTTGGTAAGTTTCTCAAATCACCGGGTCGCAGAAGCTTGACTAAATTATCATCCAAATCTAGTGCTATTAATTCTTGTATGTCAAAGACCTCTGGCTCGATTTCCTTGAGTTTGTTCCCAAACAGACTCAATCTTCTCAATGCAATTCTCGACAAAGAACTTGGCGCGATGGTGTGGAGAAGATTGTCACTCAAAATCAAGTTTTCAAGAGTAAAATTTTCGAAGACGCGACTTGGAAGTTCAGCGAGTTTGTTGTTACCAAGATCCACGCGTTCAGCTTTGATATTTTTGAAAGCTCCGGGTTGTAGAAGGACGATTGAGTTGAATGACAAGTCTATGTAAGACACATTTAAATCGACAAAAGTATCAGTTTTGATTTGTGTTAAGTTATTCGAATCCAGAAGGAGAGCTTTTAAAAGGGGTAAATTACCAAAAGCTCCGGGTTTGATTTCTTCCATACCTACACCGGATAGGCGGAGTACGCTCAAATTTGGTATATCGGAAACCGATTTTTCGTACAAGATGGGAATGCTGCCCTGGATCCACACGGGCACTTTTTTTTCTTCAACAGGAATGATTTTCTTAAGATTGTCAGATGTATATACCGTCTCATTACCGACATACCATTGAACCGTCACATTTTCGAAAGTAATTTTTTCAGTGTTGCTAAGTTTCAAAAGAAAAGTACACAGGAGTAGGTTTATTAGTGAAAAACGCATCTTGAATACTGAAATTGTTTATGCTGAACGTCGTATTTATATGGTAATAAAGGATTTTCCAGCACGTTTGATTAAAATTAAGTTAGTCACATGATGACGATTTCTTGGATACGTAGTGAAATAAATTTTCTTTATTAAAAAAATATTCAAATCAAAGCAGCGCTAGATTCTTGTTAAATGCGATTACGACGTTGTCACAAAAATACTGGAAGTATTGTGATCTCCCTTGTCCATCTGTCTGTCTCTCTGTCTGACGTCTGCGTCGATTTTTGTTATACAATAAAAATTATTTTTCAAAATTACACAATTTACACTATAAAATATAATTTTTTTTTAGAATTTCAATATTCACAACGAATAACATGTTGGTGGGTAGACGGAGCTTCAATTTTGCCTTTTTTTCTGGATATACCTACGTAACAATCTTTTCGCGACAATATATTTAAAACGTTTAAAATGGTAATTTTTTCTCGGGAAGCATCGATTGTACAATTAAGTTGCGCCCCTCGGTCTGACAACAAATGACAAATTCATCACAATCTAAATCGAGGCGGGTGGGTGGGGCTTATTTTTTGGATATACTTTCCTTTCAACAGCATGTTATTTGAAAAACATGTCCCACACAATAATTTCTTGTAGAGAAATAAACATTTTCCAATAAACTCCGCCCTTCGGCTCACAACGAATAAAAACGTTATTACAATTGAAATGAGGGCGGGTGGGCGGCGTTTGTAATTTGCTTTTTTTTCTTAATATATGTGCGTACTTTTCTTTTCACGACAAGAAACTGAAAATATGTTTAAAAGTGTAAATTTGTAAAGAAGTATATTGGATAAAATTTACCATTTTAAACATGTTTTCAGTTTCTTGTTATGGAGAAAAAACAATATATATTAAGAAGAAAAAAAAAGCAAAACATAAGCCCCACCCACCCACCCTATCTCAATTGTGACGCTCTTCCTTTGTTCGTCATTAGTCAAGAGGGGCGGAGCTTAATTGCAAAATTCGTATTTTTCTAGAAAAATTACCATGTGATACATGTTCTTCAGTGATGCTCAGAGAAAAATATTTGTGTTTTAAGTAACAAAAAACAATAATCCCCACCCATCCGTCTGGATCTCAATGGTGATGAATTTTCCATTCGTTGTCAGACTGGGGGGCGAAACGTAATTACAAAGTCCATATTTCCTGATTTAAACACGTTTTAAGTTTCTTGTTGCGAAAAGAACACTACGAATATTAAGAACACAAAAGACAAAATATAAGCCCCGCCCACCCACCCCACGTCTATTGTAATGAATTTTTTATTCATAGTCAAGAGGGTGGACCTTAAAATCCTTATTTCTCTACAGGAAATTATCATGTAAAACATGTCTTTGAGTATAGAGTTGTTCAAAAAATACTATGTATATTAAGTAAAAAATAAAGCAAAGATTAAGCCCCACCACCATACCCATCACCATAAAAAAAAAATAATAAACTTTATTCAATTCATGGATAAAGGACTATCTTGAACTAATTTTAATTGACGAAAACGGTTTCTTGCTTTCTTATAATATCATAAAATTTGATTTTGCGATTTTCGCTGTAACAACGGAAAATTTGGAAAAACATCTGATTGTTAATTTTAACAGAAAACAAAGTATGGTTAACATTTCATAGTCTATATGATATTCATAATAAACATAAAATTTGTCTAACCCATATATCTGTCTAATAAAAAACCGTGACGGCAGACAGACAGACGGAAATGGGCGACCTATTTCTTCGTACGCTAGGTCATGAAAGGTCGAGAAAACATGAAACTAGAGAGTAAAAAAAACAACAGTTGTTTTATTTGCATACGTATTAAAGTAAAAACTACATATTTCTTATAGCACAATATTCTAAGAAATTGTAATCGGGTATCTGCTTCTTTTTTTTCTGTAACTTCGCAATCTTCTTAGCACACTCTTTTTTCCAAGGATTATTTTCCAAACGTATCTTTTGAACATTCTTGAAAATTGTTTCCAAATCTCCTTTAATACACTTTAACCTATTTCCACAGAGATCCAAACCAACAATGCTAACATTCCTCAATGTTTCTGGATCCCAGTTATCAATCTCATTATCGGCCAAATTAAAATAACGAATCTGTTCCAATTTCCGAAAAGCTTTAGTTGAAATCTTCCTGATGCGATTCCCTTGAAGATTAATATTGAACAACCGAGAATAGTTCTTGAAAGCTTCATCTGTAATCTCAGTAATCTGATTAAAACGAACTAAAATAGAAGCAGACGGTGATGTCAGCCAATCATCCCACTGGGTTAGATTATTGGAGTCAATCTTCAACACTCTAAGCGCCAACATGCCATCAAAAGCTTTACTCGCAATTTTAACAATCTGGTTTTCAGCTTGATTCAAGTAGGTGAGTTTGGTGTTGTTGAAAACTCCTTCTGGTATTTCTTCCAACTCGTTTCCCGAAAGCCGGAGGAAAAGCAACTGTGGTAAGTTTCTCAAATCACCAGGTCGCAGAAACTTGATTGAGTTGTAATCCAAATCGAGTGATTCCAATTCTTGCAAGTCAAAGACTTCCGGATCGACTTCCTCGAGATTGTTCCCAAACAGATTCAACCTTGTCAATCCAAGTGTAGACAGAGCTTTTGGTGCGATTGTGTAGAGAGAATTACTATCCAAATTTAATATTCCGAGAGTAACATTTTCAAAAACACCACATGAAAGTTCAGTGAGGTTGTTGTTTTCAAGTGTCATTTTATCAGCTTTGAAATTCGTGAAGGCTCCTGGTTGTAGAAGGAAGATTGAGTTGGATGACAAATCTATATACCCTACATTTAGATCGGTAAATGTATCACTTTGGATTTCTGTCAGGTTGTTCGAATTCAGGACGAGTTTGTTCAAAAGTGGTACATTACCAAAAGCTCCCGGTTTGATTTCTTCCAAACCTACGTTAGACAGCTCAAGACTGTACAGACTTGGTATATCGAAGATCGAGTTTTCGTACAAGATGGGAACGTTTCCAGTGATTGTCACCTCGTCTTTTACGTCAGGAATGACTTCCTTAAGACTGTCAAATGTAGCTACCTTTGTTTCTGGTACGTCATTACGAGCAAGCACAACTGTCACGTTCTCGAAGGTATTTTCACTGTTACTAACTTTGACAAGAAAAGTGCAGACTAGCAGGTTTACTAGTGAAGAACGCATCTTGATTACTGAAGCTGTTTACGTTAAATATCGTATATATAAGCTAACATAGAGGAAATTAGTCACATCTATCTCTGTGACACACACTTTTAAACAGAATTGCTAGGATTCGTGGTGAAATGAATTTTCCTTATTAAATAAATATTCAAATTAAGGAAATAAGTTTTTGTTAAGCGACTTACTCATACAACTTTTACTTACCGTTTTGAAAACAACAAAATCTTACAGGAATTGTACAATTTTCTATCTATCCAACTAAAATAAAATCGGCAGATACTAGGTAACAATTGCATGAATGGTTGTAAACAATGAAACCACCAAGTCTTGGTAGCCTTAAGTCGCCCATTTAAGTATTAACAACTAATTAATTAATTAATAATCAATACACAAACAAATTACAATCATAAATTTCATCAAACTCTAAAAAATTTTGGGCGTATCTTCAAACTAGAAAAGGAAGATCTAGAATGCCAAGACTCATGAAATTTTCAGATCACCAGATGAGTTTAATAATCCGTAAATCAGAATTGACAGTACATCTCAGTTGAAACTGTGAAACAATCCGAAAACTCATTGACAGGAGATTTGCATAGTATCTAGAATTCGTTTTAGGAAAATGTGCTTCAATTTTTACAACAAAAACAAATGTTATTATTTATTAAATAATCATACTTTCCTATGATCCGGAAAAAAATTTGGTCTAAAGAGTAAAAAGATAGCAAGCCTTTCATTTCACTCTCCATTTCTTGATATATATAAAAAAAATACGTCAAATTTGTCAAATGAGACGTTATAATTTTGATAGGATTATTTGATAAAGCTTATCGAATCCGTCGACCGACTCTCTACTTTTACGTTTGCTCAACCTCTTATGACCCCTACAGTAAGTAGAAATAGGTCTCCCGTTTCCGTTTGTCTGTCTGTCCGTCTGTCCGTCTGTCTGCCGTCCCGGATTTTTATTAGACAGATAATTTTCGAAATTACTGGGCCCATTGTTGTCAAATTTTGTATTTATACTAGGTATATCATGTAGATGGTAAAACGCTAACCAAAATTTGTCTAATCATCCCCACCACTAATGTGATGACGTCACTTCAAAATTGTACATAGTAAATGGGTTTTAAATTGTATCAAATAACATAGTCTTACACATATAATTTATGACTCCGAACTGAGATTTTACCCGAAACGTCCAGATTTTTGTAAAAAAAATCAAAATTAGAAAACAACATTTTGACATTTAATTTAGAATCTCCAAAACCGAATGCTTTGAAATCTTGCAGATCATTTACAGTTATGATAAGCATGATAAGTTTTTAATCAAAATATACTTACTTGTCCACTCCAAAAAAATTGATGATGTCAGCTCGAAATTTTGCCGAATAAATCCTATCTAAAATGTAGAAAATATGATGAGTCTGAACTTGTAATTTATCATTCGATCCATATTTTTTGGATTTGCATATACAGGGTAATAAATGCGTGAATTTATTTTATTTATTTAATCAGGAACCAAAAAACCGATTGCTTTGAAATCTTGGAGATGTTTTACAGCTATCATAGGCATAGTAAAATTTTAGTCAAAAGTTTTTGGTTTAATAAATATTCACTTCTTGGTTTAATACATATGCAGATAAAACTGTTGTTTTTAAGGGCCTTTTCATTGAATTAGATATTAGGATAGATAGAAAATGGCACAATTCATTCAGATTTTGTTGTTTTCAAAACACAGTGAAGGTCAGATAAGTAATAATAAAAAAAATCATTTCACCACACATACTAGAAATTCTTTTTAAAAGTGTGAGTCAGACACCACGTCACTCACAAACTTAATTTTAATCACTTTCACATCCTTCTATGTTACCTTATAAATATGACATTTAACGTAAACATCTTCAGTACTCAAGATGGTTCTTCACTGGCAAACCTACTACACAGGGCGACTGATAAATAACAAGTAATCCTCAATAGTGATGAAGAAATCCATATTTCAGTACAAATAATTACCATTTTAAACATGTTTTAAGTCTCTTGTTGTGGAAAGATGACTACGTATATTAAGAAAAAAAGGTAAGATATATTCCCCGCCCACCCGCCTTATCTCAATCGTGACTTTTTTTACTCGTCGTAAGTCATGGGGCGGAGCTTAATTACAAAATTCTTATTTTTGACAAGAAATTGCTATGTGTTGTATCTTTAAATACAAAAGAAAGCCAAAACGTAAGCCCCACTCATTCGTCTCAATCTGAGTTTGGCTTTAAATTTTTACTTAATAAACATAACTGGTATTCCTTAAACAATACGATACTTAAAAACATGTTCGTGGTAATTTCTTGTAGAGAAATAAGGATTTTGCAAGCTCCGCCCTCTTGGCTGACGACGAATAAAAAAAATCATCACAACTGGAAAAGGGAGGGTGGGCGGACCTTACTTTTTTCTCCTTTTTTCTTTATATACGTAGTCATCTTTTCATGATAATAAATTAAAACATGTTTAAAATGGTAAATTTTTGTAGGAAAATATTAATTTTCCAGTTACGTTTCGGCCTTCGATCTGGCAACGAATGAAAAACTCATCACGAGATTAAGCCCCACCCATAACTGTGATAAAATCTGGCTGACAGAAATTGCTCTCCTTTTAACATTTTTCACGTTTATAAAATTGTACGAATACGTCTTGATCAATCAGTAAAATACGATGGGAAAACTTACGTGTTTGATAAATCGTCAAAAGTAAAAATTAAATAAAAATATTCAAAGTAAAAAAAAATCTCCACGAAAAGAAACAAAAGTTGCATAACTGAAAAAGTAACATTTAATCAAAAACCACAACATTAAGGCAGAAACTAGCATAAAATTAGGATACATCCAACTTCTTGTTCATAATAAACTCCTCAACCTTCTTAACACACTGTTCATTCCAAGGATTATTCTCTAAATGAGTAATTTCAACATTTCTGAAAACTGTCTCCAAATCTCCTTCAATACAGGATAACTTATTTTCCTTCAAATCCAAAGTACCAACATTAACATCAACCAATAAATCTGGATTCCAGTTATCAATCTCATTATTGGCCAAGTTTAAATAATCAATGTGTTCTAATTTATAAAACGTTTTAGCTGAAATATTCCTAATTTTATTCCCCTGGAAATTAATACTTGTCACATGAGAGTTATTCTTGAATACTTCGTCTGGAATCTCAGTAATCAAATTATACCTGACTGATACTTCAGAAACTGATTTTGCCCCACTCAGCCAATTATCATCCCAATGTGTAACATTATTGAAGTCAATGTTCAACACTCTAAGCGCAGACATGTCCTCAAACGCTTTACTCGCAATTTTAACAATATTGTTTGCGGCTAGATACAAATAGATGAGTTTGGTGTTGTTGAAAACCCCTTCTGGGATTTCTTCCAACTCGTTTCCCGAAAGCCAGAGTTTCTTCAACTCTGGCAAGTTTCTCAAACCACCAGGTCGCAAAAGTTTGATTGAGTTGTAATCCAAATCGAGTGATACCAATTCTTGCAGATCAAAGACTTCCGGATCGATTTCCTCGAAATTGTTCCCATGCAAATACAATTTTGTCAGTCCAATTGAAGACAGAGCCGTTGGTGGGATGGTGTGGAGAAGATTATCACTCAAACTCAAGCTTCCAAGAGTAACGTTCTCAAAAACACCACTTAACAATTCAGTGAGTCTGTTGCTATCAAGTGACACGATAGAAGCGTTGAAATTCTTGAAGGCTCCTGGTTCTAGAAGGGTGATTGAGTTGAAAGACAAATCTACATTCGATACATTTAAATCGGAAAAAGTATCAGTTTCGATTTGTGTCAAGTTGTTCCAAGATAGAAGGAGATTTTCCAAAGGTGGTAAGTTACCAAAAGCTTGCGATTCGATTTCCTCCAAACCCACATTGGACAAGTTAAGTCTGTTCAAATTTGGTATATCGAAAATCGATTTTTCGTACAAGATGGGAACATGTCCCAAGATGTGCACCGACACTTGGGTTACATCAGGAATGATTTTCTTAAGACTCTCAGATGTAGCTACCGATTCTATTAGTTCGTTATCAACACGCCACCGGACTGTCACATTTTCGAAAGTAATTTTTTCGCTCTTACTAACTTTAACAAGTAAAATACAGATTAGTACGTCTAGCAGTAAAGAACGCATCTTGATTACTGAAGTTGTTTACGATAAATGTTGTATTTATAATGTAATGTGGAAAACTAATTAACTGGATTGTTTTCCAACACATTTGATTAAAATTAAGTTGGTCATATGTATGACGCACATTTGTAAAAAGAACTTGTTGGATGCGTAGTGAAATTAAATTTCTTCATTAGATAAATATTCAAATCAAGGAAATGCTGTATTTTTATTAAGCAACTTTTACTCATCCAACCTTCACGATTGTTTTGAAAACAAGGAAATCTTGAAGAATTAAAGAACGGGAACAATTTTCTAAAAACAAGAAAAATTTTTCAACATAGGCTGCTCATGGCGCGTTACGGACAGCCTACATATTAAACGACATCAGTTTTGTACAGACTACAGGGGCAAAATTCGATCTGTTTCTGTGTGGTGATAAGAACAATACTAATGTTTCACAAATATTATAATAGTTTCTTTTTGAAACCCTTGAACCGGTATATAAAAGTGTGCCAATCAAATTAATTAATTAACCGATCACTTGATGAAATTTATCGAAACACATGTTAATTGAAGGACCGACAATAATAACTGTTTTAAAAAATTACACAATTTACGCTGCGATATACAAATTTTTGTTAGAATTGCAATATGCACAATTCAATTTTGCCTTTTTTGGATATACGTAACAATTTTTTCACGACTATATATTTAAAACGTTTAAAATGGTAAATTTTTCTTCGAAAACATCGATTTTACAATTAAGTTTTGCACCACGGTCTGACAACGAATGCAAAATTTGTCACAATTGAAATTGAGGCGAGTGGGCGGGTCTTATTTTTTGGATTTTGTTCCTTAACATATATAGTTTCGTTTCAACATGTTATTTAAAAACATGTTTCACATAGTAATTTCTTGTAGGGAAATAAGCATTTTCCAATAAACTCCGCCCTTCGGTTCACAACGAATAAAAACGTTATCACAATTGAAATGAGGGCGAGTGGGCGGCGTTTGTAATTTGCTTTTTTTTCTTAATATATGTGCGTACTTTTCTTTTCAATTATAATATAACAAGTGATATGATTATTATCGATAATATTTCGAGTGAAACCGAGCTGCAGATTTAACGAGTGCGAAGCACGAGTTGAATGTGCTGCTTCGGTTTCACGAGCAATATCTTCGATTATTAATCATATCACGAGTTATATTCAACATGAGAATATAATAAATGAACACATTTTTTGATAATAAAATTGATTTCGTCGTTTTGAGCTTGCCCCCAACGTTGGCAAGCCATAAAAGACGAAAAAATTTATGAAATTCTAAAATTTGTCAATTTGACAGTTTTTAAATTTAGGTAGCAACAGACCACAATAAGGCAATAAAATTATTATCGCTGTGATAGACATGTAACTAAGAGCATGAACAAATCCTGTTGGAAGAAATGGGGTCATGTGATCCATGAATTATATTCTCACGACAATAAACTGAAAACATGTTTAAAAGGGTAAATTTGTAAAGAAGTATATTGGATAAAATTTACCATTTTAAACATGTTTTCAGTTTCTTGTTATGGAGAAAAAACAATATATATTAAGAAGAAAAAAAAAGCAAAACGTAAGCCCCACCCACCCACCCTATCTCAATTGTGACGCTCTTTCTTTGTTCGTCATTAGTCAAGGGGGGCGGAGCTTAATTGCAAAATTCGAATTTTTCTAGAAAAATTACCATGTGATACATGTTCTTCAGTGATGCTCAGAGAAAAATATTTGTATTTTAAGTACCAAAAAACAATATTCCCCACCCATCCGTCTGGATCTCAATGGTGATGAATTTTCCATTCGTTGTCAGACTGGGGGGCGAAACGTAATTACAAAATCCATATTTCCAGATTTAAACATGTTTTAAGTTTCTTGTTGCGAAAAGAACACTACGAATATTAAGAACACAAAAGACAAAATGTAAGCCCTGCCCACCCACCCCACGTCTATTGTAATGAATTTTTTATTCATAGTGAGCCAAGAGGGTGGACCTTAAAATCCTTATTTCTCTACAGGAAATTATCATGTAAAACATGTCTTTGAGTATAGAGTTGTTCAAAAAATACTATGTATATTAAGTAAAAAATAAAGGCAAAGATTAAGCCCCACCACCATACCCATCACCATAAAAAAAATAATAAACTTTATTCAATTCATGGATAAAGGACTATCTTGAACTAATTTTAATGACGAAAACGTTTTCTTGCTTTCTTATAATATTATAAAATTTGATTTTGCGATTTTCGCTTTCGTGGTAACAACGGAAAATTTGGAAAAACATCTGATTGTTAATTTTAACAGAAAACAAAGTATGGTTAACATTTCATAGTCTATATGATATTCATAATACACATAATATTTGTCTAACCCATTTATCTGTCTAATAAAAAACCGTGACGGCAGACAGACAGACGGAAATGGGCGACCTATTTCTTCGTACGCTAGGTCATGAAAGGTCGAGAAAACATGAAACTAGAGAGTAAAAAAAACAACAGTTGTTTTATTTGCATACGTATTAAAGTAAAAACTACATATTTATTATAGCACAATATTCTATCAAATTGTAATTGGGTATCTGCTTCTTTTTTTTCTGTAACTTCGCAACCTTCTTAGCACACTCTTTTTTCCAAGGATTATTTTCCAAACGTATCTTTTGAACATTCTTGAAAATTGTTTCCAAATCTCCTTTAATACACTTTAACCTATTTCCCCTGAGATCCAAACCAACAATGCTAACATTCCCCAATGTTTCTGGATCCCAGTTATCAATCTCATTATCGGCCAAATTAAAATAACGAATCTGTTCCAATTTCCGAAAAGCTTTAGTTGAAATCTTCCTGATGCGATTCCCTTGAAGATTAATATTGAACAACCGAGAATAGTTCTTGAAAGCTTCATCTGGAATCTCAGTAATCTGATTAAAACGAACTAAAATAGAAGCAGACGGTGATGTCAGCCAATCATCCCACTGGGTTAGATTATTGGAGTCAATCTTCAACACTCTAAGCGCCAACATGCCATCAAAAGCTTTACTCGCAATTTTAACAATCTGGTTTGCAGCTAGATTCAAGTAGGTGAGTTTGGTGTTGTTGAAAACTCCTTCTGGTATTTCTTCCAACTTGTTTCCCGAAAGCCGGAGGCAATGCAACTGTGGTAAGTTTCTCAAATCACCAGGTCGCAGAAACTTGATTGAGTTGTAATCCAAATCGAGTGATTCCAATTCTTGCAGGTCAAAGACTTCCGGATCGATTTCCTCGAGATTGTTGTCAAGCAGATCCAATCTTGTCAATCCAAGTGCAGACAGAGCTTTTGGTGCGATTGTGTAGAGAGAATTACTATCCAAATTTAATATTCCGAGAGTAACATTTTCAAAAACACCAAATGAAAGTTCAGTGAGGTTGTTGTTTTCAAGTGTCACGTTATCAGCTTTGAAATTCGTGAAGGCTCCTGGTTGTAGAAGGAAGATTGAGTTGGATGACAAATCTACATTCGATACATTTAGATCGGTAAATGTATCACTTTGGATTTCTGTCAGGTTGTTCGAATTCAGGACGAGTTTGTTCAAAAGTGGTACATTACCAAAAGCTCCCGGTTTGATTTCTTCCAAACCTACGTTAGACAGGTCAAGACTGAACAGACTTGGTACATCGAAGATCGAGTTTTCGTACAAGATGGGAACGTTTCCAGTGATTGTCACCTCGTCTTTTACGTCAGGAATGACTTCCTTAAGACTGTCAAATGTGGCTACCGTTGCTTCTGGTACGTCATTACGAGCAAGCACAACTGTCACATTCTCGAAGGTATTTTCACTGTTACTAACTTTGACAAGAAAAGTGCAGACTAGCAGGTTTACTAGTGAAGAACGCATCTTGATTACTGAAGCTGTTTACGTTAAATATCGTATATACAGGGTGCCGCATCCAAGTCTGGATATAGGGAATTAACATGCGAATTGGTTTTTATTTTATAATATCTCCCCAGATCACTTTAAAGCTATTATTGAGTGATGGCTTTGTGGAGGTCGAAGAGGGCTATCGGCCAGTATTTTTTTCAAATCGTTGCATCGCGCTCACTCACTGTAAAAAGGTTTTAAAAATCGTATTTTGAAATTCGCGCCCGATCCGAATTGTCGCGAAGTGTTCCGTCGTACTGTCGAAGTTCGGCGATCGCGTATTTTCATTATCCATGCAAAATTCAAATGTCAAAGTGAAATTAGAAATTATTCTCATCAGAAATCAACGAACAAGTCAAACTGAATTATTTTATCCAGTGTGATGATTATTGTAGGACAAATTAAACGGAATAAATGCACAAATTGATCCATTCATTCGTCATAGTGCGCGACCCCGTCAAACGAGCCATCTCGAACTACAATCAGACCGTATCCAAAAAGCCCAAGATGAAGACTTCAATACTTTGAGCAGCTGGTCTTCCTCAAAACCCCATCAAAGCCCATCGGCAGCATTGCGACATTTTCTGGGAGCCCTCAAGCTAGGAATGTACTCGGGCTGCCTCACTCAGTAATCACTGAACGACTCAAATTGAATTATTTTATCCAATATGACGATTATTGTAGGTCAATTTAAACGAAATAAATGCACAAACTGCGCAAAATATTTTATTAGGTTATGTTGCTGGTGCTGATCGAGTCTTTATTACTAAAATCTCATTAAAATGCCATGTTCTACTGCGATTAGATGAAAAAGCGAGGGCCCGCTTTTCTTATTGTGTGATGATAAGATTTACCATCAAAATAGCTGGCGCTTTTGAAGAGGACCTTTTAATGAACCATTTAGATAACTACAAATAACAAAACTTAACAATTGTTGATGAATGAAGTAATGAAATATTGTACGAATCTGGAGAAGTATTGCACTATTTTCAAGAATTGCTCAAAAAGACTGCTCTCAGCAACTGTACAGTAAGTAAGCCAATCTTCAAAACTCCTACGCGTGTTGATCAGCATTTTAGTTGAAATCTGAAGACAATATTGCTGGATTGCTTGTTTCAGCGCTTCTCTGTTTGTATAGCTTGTCTGAATGCAGATGGTCGTGAAGAAATCTCCAAAGAAAAAATTCTCAGGGGTTTATATCCGGCGATTGCACAGGCCAATGGGGCGGTGCAAACTTTCCATTCCAACATTGCGGAAAAATACTGGTTCAAATAAACAACATTTATGCGAACTGTATGGCTGGAGATTTGGTCCTGGATGTAAAAGACCTGCTGCAGATGCCGCACCCTTCGAGTCCCAGGAAGTATTTGCTGAGCTAGCATATTATCCTACTTCTGAGCATTCAATCCGGATTCGATGAAAAAAGGTGCAATGACATGATGTCCTAGAAGCCCCAGTCATACACTGACAATTGCACGCCATTGATAACGAAGGTCATGGACCACGTGAGGGTTGTGTAATGCTCAAATTTGATCGTTCTGACGATTATAACTTCCCTTAAGACCAAATGAACGTCAGTAAAACAAATTTTCCTCAAAAACTCTCCATCAGCCTAGATTCTCTCAAGCGTTCCTTCGTAAAACTCTATATGTGAGAAGTAGTCCCCAGGCTTCAATTTTTTGTCATGATGCTTTTTGAAATTCTTCTATCTCATCTGTTTAAGACCCCTAGAAAACGTCGTGCCCACCTGATTTTATGTAATTTTTATCACCTTTGAAAATAAATGTAACTTTATTTTGCGAAATATTATTTTTATTTTTGTTGTTGTTAACACAATAAACAAATAAAACAGTAATACAAAAGTTTCTGAATCCCAAGAGAAAAATACTTTAAAATGTTGATGAGTCAATGTTCTACATTTCTCTCTCAAAAATTTCCTGTAATGAAGATGCTTCCTGGAGGCAAAAAATCCATCCCTGCTTAACGAATGTAAAATCAATTGACTTCCAATCTTTAGTGATTCCAAAAAAAAGGGTGAAATTTATCCAAATTACCTACTAATTAAATTAACTGTTGAAGAACATGCAGGCCCCCGCTTTTTCATCTAATCGCAGTAGAACATAGCATAACCTAATAAAATATTTTGTGCATTTATTCCGTTTAAATTGACCTACAATAATCGTCATATTGGATAAAATAATTCAATTTGAGTCGTTCAGTGATTACTGAGTGAAGCAGCCCGAGTACATTCCTAGCTTGAGGGCTCCCAGAAAATGTCGCAATGCTGCCGATGGGCTTTGATGGGGTTTTGAGGAAGACCAGCTCTCGAAGTCTTGAAGTCTTGATCTTGGGCTTTTTGGATACGGTCTGATTGTAGTTCGAGATGGCTCGTTTGACGGGGTCGCGCACTATGACGAATGAATGGATCAATTTGTGCATTTATTCCGTTTAATTTGTCCTACAATAATCATCACACTGGATAAAATAATTCAGTTTGACTTGTTCGTTGATTTCTGATGAGAATAATTTCTAATTTCACTTTGACATTTGAATTTTGCATGGATAATGAAAATACGCGATCGCCGAACTTCGACAGTACGACGGAACACTTCGCGACAATTCGGATCGGGCGCGAATTTCAAAATACGATTTTTAAAACCTTTTTACAGTGAGTGAGCGCGATGCAACGATTTGAAAAAAATACTGGCCGATAGCCCTCTTCGACCTCCACAAAGCCATCACTCAATAATAGCTTTAAAGTGATCTGGGGAGATATTATAAAATAAAAACCAATTCGCATGTTAATTCCCTATATCCAGACTTGGATGCGGCACCCTGTATAAGCTAACATAGAGGAAATTAGTCACATCTATCTCTGTGACACACACTTTTAAACAGAATTGCTAGGATTCGTGGTGAAATGAATTTTCCTTATTAAATAAATATTCAAATTAAGGAAATGAGTTTTTGTTAAGCGACTTACTCATACAACTTTTACTTACCGTTTTGAAAACAACAAAATCTTACAGGAATTGTACAATTTTCTATCTATCCAACTAAAATAAAATCGGCAGATACTAGGTAACAATTGCATGAATGGTTGTAAACAATGAAACCACCAAGTCTTGGTAGCCTTAAGTCGCCCATTTAAGTATTAACAACTAATTAATTAATTAATAATCAATACACAAACAAATTACAATCATAAATTTCATCAAACTCTAAAAAATTTTGGGCGTATCTTCAAACTAGAAAAGGAAGATCTAGAATGCCAAGACTCATGAAATTTTCAGATCACCAGATGAGTTTAATAATCCGTAAATCAGAATTGACAGTACATCTCAGTTGAAACTGTGAAACAATCCGAAAACTCATTGACAGGAGATCTGCATAGTATCTAGAATTCGTTTTAGGAAAATGTGCTTCAATTTTTACAACAAAAACAAATGTTATTATTTATTAAATAATCATACTTTCCTATGATCCGGAAAAAAAATTGGTCTAAAGAGTAAAAAGATAGCAAGCCTTTCATTTCACTCTCCATTTCTTGATATATATAAAAAAAAAATACGTCAAATTTGTCAAATGAGACGCTATAATTTTGATAGGATTATTTGATAAAGCTTATCGAATCCGTCGACCCACTCTCTACTTTTACGTTTGCTCAACCTCTTATGACCCCTACAGTAAGTAGAAATAGGTCTCCCGTTTCCGTTTGTCTGTCTGTCCGTCTGTCCGTCTGTCTGCCTTCCCGGATTTTTATTAGACAGATAATTTCCGAAATTACTGGGCCCATTGCTGTCAAATTTTGTATTTATACTAGGTATATCATGTAGATGGTAAAACGCTAACCAAAATTTGTCTAATCATCCCCACCACTAATGTGATGACGTCACTTCAAAATTGTACATAGTAAATGGGTTTTAAATTGTATCAAATAACATAGTCTTACATATATAATTTATTTTATTTTTTTTTTATTTTTATTTTATTTGTAACGGAATCTCCAATTTACATTATGAATTATTAAACTAAATTAACTAAATAATACATATTCTAACAGAGTGTTCCCTAATAAGTAAATTCAAAAACAAAAAATATTCATGGCTTGGCGGTTACTAATATGCATACAATAAATAAGGAACTAAAATCTACTGTTATAAAATAACAAAATTTTGAATTTAAATTTGGACAAAGGAGAATCAAATATCGATATGTTGCTGTTGTTCGAATAATCATTTGCAGCTAGCATCATTCTATGTAAAGGATGATTACGACCTATATTTGACGTAGATGGTGCTACCCTAAAAATATCTTTGCTTCGAGTTGTGCGGCTGTTGACGGCAGGGTACAAGAAGGAGAGTCTTGATAGCAGCGATGGATTGTCAATACGACCATTTAATATCCCGTGCAGAACACAAGCATCCGTTATATATCTTCAAATATATAGGGGTTGTATATTAAAATGATGTTGAATCCAATTGTAGTCGCCTTTAATATGTTTGAAGCCAACTTTAAATTCGAGAGCTCTCAAAAATTTTTTCTGAGCATTTTCTAGCAACACCCGATCAACATTATATAAAGGTGACCAAACAGGTGAACAATAATCTAAGTGTGTCCGAACTAAGGAGCAATATAAACTTTTGAGGACCAAAGGTGAAAGCTCATGACAATTTCGCCAAATAAACCCCCACATGTTCAAAGCTTTTTTGGATATATAGGAATAATGACTTTTAAAGGAAAGTGACGAGTCGAAAATTACTCCTAAATCCTTAATCTGAGTCACACGTTTAATACAACGCTTATTCAGTTGGTACTTAAAACTGATGTTAGATTTTATGTTAAAAGTTGACATAATATAACACTTATCTAAATTTAAGGGGAGTAAGTTGTTACTGCATCACTCAAAAAGCATGTCAAGATCTAATTGTACTTGTTCTAAATCTTGTGTATCTCGAATGACTTTAAAGATCTTT